AAGCGTTGGTGAAATTCTGTGAGACGAAGAGAGTAGAAAGAGAAGCAAAAAGAAAACGGTGAAAGAGAGCGGCAGCGGTTTTAATGCAGCGACAACCGATAGTAGCAGAGTGAGTGCCACATAGGTGTTTCATCTTCTCGTAGTAGGGGTTAAAAGAGAAAAAGAAGGAGAAGAACAGTGAAGTCCAACCGCAACGCGGTCCGCAAGAAAATAGTTTCCCTAGAAGCCCTTCAATTTAGTGAAGAGGAAGAAAGTGCTGAGTGGTTGCGATGAAGCGCGTTGGTGTCGGCCAAATGTTGTAAAGGATCGTGATCGGATTTACCGGGAAATACCGATTGGAGCTTATGGCCATTAAGGACAGGTAAGTAGTTGGTCCATCAAGGTAAGATAAATTAATAAACATATAAAGTATCCGTTCGATTTTGGCAACACGTTCTCAGTATATTTAAACTGCTTGTGCTCTGCAGTTATATTATTAAATTCTGTTTAATAATTTTCTTAGATTTTCAGTAAAATTGTGGAGCTTTAAACGTCACCTGCAGGCCTGTTCTGCGAGTAGTATGGCTCTCTGTCGCTAGTAGGGTGACGATGGTCGCCTCGTGTGAGGTGACTCTTCATTTGATTGCACGGAGAGTCACCCCACTAGTGCGTGACTTTTGTTGACTCATTGGTGGTGGAGATTCGCACGACTCGCGGAATAGGTCAGATGATAAGATTTGCATTTATTAATGATTTTGAAAAGCTAAGAAGGCAAAATTGTGTTGACAAAATCTAACGGGTAATGCCGATATAAATATATATATATATATATATATATATATATATATATATATATATATATATATATATATATATATACACACATTAAATGCAAAGGGGAGGGATGGGACCACCAGGGCACCGGATTGAAGCGATTTGGATGGGGAGAGTGGAATTGCCAACTCCCTGTTATTAACATTTCGTGAATTGACGGCGGGCTCTTCTCCCCACTCATTGGGACGTTCCCTCGTATGATGGCTTGTTCTACATCGGGTTGTAGGATTTTATCATTGGAAGGCGATTCTCCTGATCCCGCGGATTGCGCGTAAGTGTATCTGCTTACGGGTCCGCCCCTCCGTTTTTGGCCCTTCTTACAATGGTAAATTGAATACAACCAGGTATCGTACTTGATCAAGTCATACTTGGAGGATGATCCACTGTCTAATGGCTGTGCCTTGCAGCAATGAGTGGTATCCTTTACATACATACATACATACATACGCAAATGCCCGCACCTTGGCCTTAACCCCGGCCATAAGATTCTGCACAACCTGTGAATCAACCGTTTTTTGCATGTAAACGCATACTTTCTTCAGTTCCTCGACTGTCTTCACTACCTTAGGTCGTTTAAGAAGGTGCTGCTTCATAATCGCCCAGTACTTCTCGATGGGGCGGAGCTCCGGAGTGTTGGGAGGGTTGAACATTTTCGGCACGAAATTGACCTTATTGTCCGCATACCACTTCAGCACGTCCTTGGAGTAGTGACATGAGGCCAAATCCGGCCAGAAGATTGTTGGGACGTTGTGGGCCTTCAGGAGAGGAAGCAGCCGCTTCTGGAGGCACTCTTTTATGTACACCTGTCCGTTCATCGTGTCCTGGGTCACGAAAGGTGCACTCCGCTTCCCGCACGTGCAGATGGCTTGCCAAACCAGGAATTTCTTCGCAAATTTGGACATCTTCTGAGTGCGGACATGCTCCGGAACGCTGAACTTATCCTTGGCCGTGAAAAACAGGTTGCCAGGGATCTGTTTGAAGTCGGCCTTCACATATGTTTCGTCGTCCATGATGCAGCATTCAACTTTCGTCAGCATGTTGAGGTAAAACTTCCTGGCACGGGTTTTGGCGGACTTGTTCTGCTTCTCGTCGCGATTAGGGGCCTTTTGTACCTTGAACGTTCGAAGCCCAGCCTTAGTTTTGGCCTTCTGGACAAAACTTCGGCTTAGGTGCAGCTTCTTAGCCACATCCCTAACGGAGGCGTTCGGATTTCGGTTGAAGGCCCCAACTACGCGGTTGTGATTTTTGGTGTTGTACGGAATACTTTTTCCTTCACTTCTGGGCTTCCGATCGGTGGTCAACCGTTCCTCGAACCGCTTAATCACTCGCGACACCGTGGAATTCGCGATTCCCAACGTTTTAGCGATGGCACGATGCGAGAGATCCTTGTTCTCGTGATGAATGCGCAAGATTTTATCACGCACGAGCTGTTCTTTCGACTCCATTTCCGCGAGTTTTGATCACAGGACTTTAAAACTTGCAGGATGTAAATAATGCACTATGAACTAAATCCACCCAAATTTTCATTAAATTCTACCCAATGGTTAAAAAGTTAGAGCAATTTCATAGTGTGGCAATTTCATCGTGGACGCCCTTTAGGGGCCATGACCACTTTTAATGTTGATCTAGACCTTTATTTTATATTCATATCACAATCCCACATTAAATCTAATATCACAACTACAAGTGTTCTCGAACCAATCTTGGAGCTCTAGGGTCAGCTTTATAACTAGGTTATTTTTACAGATTCTCCGGAACACCAGCTTGTGTAATTCATCGAAATGCTTCAAGATAAAACCGGAAATTTATGTGTAAGTACAATTGTTAGGAAGTTCCAGAGCATCGTCAACTTCGATAGCTCCAGAACTAGAGGAGTCTTGGATGCTAACAAAACTTTGAAATCAGAGATCAGGCTACTTCTGGAACATTCTGAATGATTCCAGAAATTGGATATGGTAGACAGAAAGTAGTTAGAAATACTAATTACTATTTAACTAAACTCGGTCTGTCACAGTGGGGTTTTTTGAACTGTGGTACAAACTAGGTCTAGTATAAGAGAGGAGCGGACTGGCTGATTTTGAGTCAAACGAACTGTCAAAGCCAGAGCCAATCGAGCAGCGCCTATCTTGATTGCATTGGCAGAGTTGCTAGAAACCACCCAGGCCTAGGTTGCCAAGCCAGTTTATTTTGAATCTGGTCCTATCTTATACAAGACTCTCTCTAGTGCAAACATCTCTGGAGATTTTACACACAATAAATAGTCCCAAAAATGACGAATACCTTTGAATTCTTCCGATTTCTAGGTTTCTGAAGTTCCGATAACCTCGGGATATTCCAAAGCTTCAAGAATTTTAGAAAAGCAAGATATTAGTAAAAATGCAAGATATTATATAGTGAATCTCGCATTCACCTTTCACTATTCGTAGAACTTACAGTCCTATGATATTTTTCTGCTACATATTATCTGAGTGAGTTTACTTTTGAACATTATTATTCTTAACAATATCGATCTTATGAGTTTCTTGATTAACAACCTATGTTTAATAGTTGGTATGACCACTTGAATAAAAAATGAATTAATAGTTGAAAATAGTAGAAATAGTAAATCAAGAACAACATGTGAAAATGGCATACCAGCTTTTTGTGAACAAACCTTCCCATACCCTTTTCTCGCCACCCACATGTGTCAAACCATTAACATTCCTCCCGATGATACGAAAAAAGGGCCTACAAAGGTTAGTTTACAAAAAGCTTGTAAGTCCCTTTAAAATAGCGTAATATGTCAGGCATAACATTTGATACCAACCAACAACATCATCGGATAGGGGCAACTATCACCTTTCCGAAAGTGGTATTGGTTTGCGTGGGCGTACTTAGGTTCGCGTGTAAAGGGCCTTAGAAAGCTTTTTGCCTTTTGTGCCGTTATCAAATGTTATGCCTGATGTAATTCTACTTGACCCCAATTACAATGTACTAACATGTTAAGAGGAAGCTGTGGTTGTCAATTTTCAGTGGAACAGATAAATGTCTAGCAACACAAAAAAAATCTAAATTTCCTCAAACATCCTTGGGTTCAAAAGTTCTATCGTGAGTGCGCAGCTCACTCAGGTCACTTGTTTCGATAAAGGCATTCATGGCGACCGTCCACTGCTCTTCTATGCTGACACCTCCCGGAGCATCCGCTGCTTGGGTCTCAAGTTCTTCAACGAAAAACCTTTTCACTGCTGAATCTTCAAGTCAACTTGTGTTGAATCACCGTCCGAGGCTTTCCTTCCGCCGCTGGATCCATGCAATGCGGACCTCGCTGATTATTTAGAAGATGATAATCAGGCACTGAGTTTACTTATGTTCTGAAATGTAGTGGTAGTATTTAAATTTTTTGGGATGAATGGGCAGAATGGGCTTGTCCTGAATATCGCTGGATTAGCTGATGTTAATTTTCTTGGCTTTCTATTACATCATAGTGCATTGTTTATCTAGATTCGATGCCATGGATTTTTTATGCATAACAATAGGTATCTCACACCCCCTGAAAACCAGTGATGTCAAACGGTGCAATCAACGCGAATAGCAGGGTCCGGATTTACTCCACTCGACGGTGCAGCACGCTGAACGACGAAGCTTCTCGCGTGTTTTAGTTTGCAGTAAAAGGAAGCCTTTCGTTGCGTGCGCACACTTCAGTCCGTCCGTGAGCAGTTACAGGCCCGTCCATGCCGTGGTGTATTGGCAAAAGGCGCGTGCAGTGTTATCATTTCACTTACATTGGCGTTCTTCGCGAAGGCTCACCGTTTAGAAACAATAAAAAAACATGTGGTGCAACAAAATATTGCTTTTGTTTTCAACTTTTATCCCGTTCTACTGACACGTGAATTGACTTGTTGCTACTTAAGTGATAAATGTAAATGAAGCCGAAGGATTCAAACAGTGGAAAAAAGTACCTGTCCATATATATTAAAACATGATCAATCAGTCGTGTTGAGGTATTGCGAAAAGAAAAAGAAAATCTCGTCGCTGCCAGTTTCAGTAACTTGATAATAGGGACGGCCACATTGACGGCATTGTTCACGTGGATAAATCATCTCGCGCGCGTCAGAACATTCTGGACTGCGGAAGGTGTAGGAAAAATTCCAACTGCCATAAAAACGTGTAATTCGACGTCCATTAATCTAAGAAAATTATTATTTTTACCATCGGTGATTGCAGTTGTCGCGCTTCACCTGATTTAACCCTATTCTGAACCAGTTGATGGTCGAAGGCGTCTTGCGCAGTCGTGAGGCAGTGTTGTTGTGATTGTGACTCACTTGTGGGAGGGAGGGGGACACCTTATAGTTCGAGAAAACGGCAACCGAGAGTGTAGTGTAACACTTGTTTCCACCTTTTTCCCGGGTAAGATTTACGTTAAGGCTGCGAGCAGTGGAAAATTTACGAGTGAATTATTAATTAGTTGCGCAAGAGTGTCAAGTTTGAAATCGTTCTTTCGGTGCCGATTAGCATGGGACTGAAAAGCTAGTGTTTGTAGGCGTTGGACTTGTTCGTGGAGGGACCACTAGCAAAAAATTTAAGCGATCGAAAAACGATTTTAAGGATAGTTTAAATTGGAATTTTCAGAATGACTCAATCGCGACTTTCGCAACTATCAAACGGATAAGTAATTTATAGAGCTTACTGGAGCACTGTTTTAGAAAACATTGATACATTATTAGAACCGTAGTGACGAATCCTTCACCACATCAGCACGCGCCTAGAACTTGAGGCTATTCGTCGATAGATTGACAATTTAACGACCAGTACCACTGGTGTTAGGACTCGTCGTAAGGTGCTACTATACGTACCACCACTCATTAGTTGAGAATTCAATGTCAAATTAAAGTACATTTATATGTTAACCGGAGTAGCAGCAAGTTTCTACGAGTGTTATGCAGCGCACATATTAATCAGCTTCCATGCGCTGAATTGCATTTTAACTGCTGCATACATCTAGACTAAAGAGATTGAACTCTCACTAGTTTTGAATGTTTTAAAATCATCCCATAAAGCATAGTTGCAAACTGTGTAAGCCCGCAATCAAAACATCACGACGAGAAAGGCTTGTCCACCAGGTCAGCGTGCCGGAGATGATTACGCATGAATACAAATTATCACAATTATCTGACTGATTCATCCTCATTGCACCTCATTTTGATTTCGGAGAGTGCGAAGGCGAATACTTCAACCACTTCTACCATTTAGGGTGAATGTCGACCTAGTGTCCCTAATATTGGACCCTATGGAAAGCTTTTGTTTTATAATGTTTCACTGGCAACCAAAAATATTCATTTGCATCGTCTAGATGACGCATTGTTAGATTCGCGATACATTGTAAATAAGCCAAAAGTTCAGAGTAAGTACATTAGCGAAATGTGTAGCTTTTGTAAAGAAGATAGCTTTGGCGCTAAAAAAGCTATTCGCATGATATCCTATAGGATACTTTATATTTCTAGGTCTAAGGGGAACAATTGGCAAGATTGCCATATGGGCCAAGCAGAACAGCCTCTAAAATCCAGCAATACAATTGTAATATGTACTGTGTGTTAAGCCCTTCTATATTCCGAGCGATCTCATTCATACCCTTTGCATTTGACAAGTTATGATTTTAAATTCTAGAGTAACATAGGTCAAAATAAGAAGTGGATTATATTAAAACAAGTGGCAACTCACCAAATCTGGTCAAAACTTGACGGGCCCCGGTGGGATCTAATGAGCGGAAATACACGTTTTTCCAGGCATTGGTTGATGTGTAACTGTCCGTTCATATTGTTGGTTGTGATGAAAATCGGAGTCTTCTGGCTACAGCTACAGATTCCCTGCTATCAGCTTACTAGCAAACTTGTCCGCAAAAACAAATTAATATTTCTTGGGAACATCTCCGCGACCCCTGGCAACATAAAACTTCTGTCCCGGAAGCTGTGACATACGTTTCATCGTCCATAAGGATGCATCCGTTAAATTTGGTCAGCACATGAAAGGCTATCAACTAGGCCAACAACGAGTTGAAAGCCTTCATGACGTTCTGACTCAGTTTTCGGTTCACTGTACCGGTTCGACACCTTGATTGCACCTTCAGTAATCATGTCAATTAATGTTTTCTGTAAAAAATCCATTTTAGTAGCAGTAATGCTTTGTTCCTCGCTGACCATTGTTAACAGCAGACAAATTTGTACCTGGTCGGGAACGTGGAGTGTTTCTGTCTGTCGCTTAGAACGAGATTGTAGGATCGGTTTGCGAGCCTTACATTTCCATAAATTGGATTTGTGGTTTTCACCATAATTTGGACATTAAAATTTGTTAGGATTTTTTATTGTCCTTTGCGTGAGAAGAATCTCCACAATTCATGCATTTAGCTGGCATGTAGCTTTTTTGTTCAGTGACCCAACACGGGAACCGTCAGGAAGGGATTTAATTTTCATTTCGATTACTTGGACAGGCTAAGCTCCAAGTAATTTAGTCAATTCATCTTTAATCTGATCCAGGGATTTACCACTGGGCAGACATTTTAAGACAACCTTCGATCAGACGTTCAGTGTTGGTGTCGTAAGTAAAAAATGTGTGTTGCTTCTCGGTAAGATACTTGAGAAGACGTTTGAATCCATTCAAGGTTTCAGCCAAACACGGCATTCACCACGACGGCCAATTTGAAGTGCAAACTTAAATTTAAAGAAGTTCAAAAGTTTTGAGCGAAGAGCATGGAAATCTGAAGTGGGCGATATTTTCCTTTTTGGCATTAAGTCGGGAGTGTTTAATGGAATTTGCCAGGATGAGGGATCATTCTCATCATCCGTAAGCATATCAAATTGATTGCTCAATTGAATTTCATCAGAAGGGGGATCAAGCGATTGCCCTTTTCTTTTTCCGTTTAGGCGCCATTGTGGCAGAATCAAGTTTCTCCAAATCGACTTCCAAACAGATTACTACAAGAATCCGAAGGATCGAAAAGGAATTTTCCAAATCGATATCCAAGCAGGATTACCTCGGGTAGCGTCCAAACAAAGATTGAAGAGGAATAAGAGTCAAAAAAGGTAGAAATTTTACAGGTTGAGCACACTTCCTTCAACAAAAAGCAAATAGATCCACACGGCAAGAGAGCACTATGCGGACTGACCAATCTTCTCATGATTTTTTTTAGTTCGTTGATTGTGTCCGGTGTCGAACATTTGCATGCCAAGCATGATCGGGTTGTAGGAGTTTGAGATCGGACATTGTTTATATGCATGAATCTTCTTCTCTATCTTCAAGTAGCTTCGTAACAGGATATATTTCTCGCTCAGGCTTTATACTAGAACCAGGCTTGTAATTGCTCATTACAGCTAAAATGCTATTTTTCGTAAGTATGAAACAATGAGATACTATAATCAGGCATGGAACATCATTTACATTCATTTCATGCATTCATTTACATTCATTTGCCTCTAACTTTTTTCATCAACAGCATTTCGCAAAATGATGTATAGAGCTTAAGTATGTTTTGTTATTAGCTACAACTTTTGTTCATAACTCAAATCTTTACCTCTTATGCATCACGAATTAGAGCGGGCAGAACTTGTTACTGTTTTTCAATGAATGTAAAATACATTCACTGAGAAACAGTAGTGGCTTCTGTTCACTCTGGTTCGTCATGCATAAGATATATGGATTTAAAATGTTAACAAAACTTGTAGCTAATAACAAAACCTACAAAAGCTTCATACATCATTTTGTGGAATTCTGTTGTTGAAAAAAGTTAGGGGCAAATGAATGTAAATGAATGCACGAAATTAATCCAAATGATTTTCCATGCCTGACTATAAAGATAATTTTTATTTGTAAGATGCAAGAAGAGGTGGTAAAGTTTGTGTATGACATATAAAATTTTTCAATTTTGCTTTCAGAAGGTCACAACTAGCGATTTTATGATCGCTGATTGCTCGCTTACAGCTAATCACTAGTTGTGACATTCTGAAAGCAAAATTGACAAATTTTATATGTCATACACAAACTTTACCACCTCTTCTTGCATCTTACAAATAAAAATTATCATTATAGTATATCATTGTTTCATAATTACGAAAAATAGCATTTTAGCTGTAATGAGCAATTGCAATCCTGACTAGAACTACTTCACCCGGAAAACTGTAGCAAAAGAATACAAACACTTTTTTTTTAATTTACTCTGTAAGCTATCGTGGTGGGAACAACGGCAAAACCGCCGTTCGCCCCGCGCGCGAACAGTTTACGAGTGAGAGAAAATCCATTAATACTGTCCCATCTGTTCATCTAGATAAAATTGACAAATAGCAGATTTTTAGCGATGGGCCCAATTGATTTGGGCCCAAAAATTGATTACTTCCAAGTAACATTGCAAGTCTCATAAAGGTTTAAAGGATTCTTCAAGACCAAATTATGGCCTACAAGACTATGATAAATAAAAAAAATATTTGGGATGGGTGGTGCGGTTTGGGTTTTCCCGGCAAATCCGAATCCCCCGTTTTTCCCGGATTTCCAGATTTTCCCGATTGGATGGACACCATACATTTGGTACCGATCTCACCGGCCGTTTGAAGTTTGTATGGGAATGACTATGGGCAAAGAGAAACAAACAATTCATCATATTGCCGAGCAATTTTGGGACGAGCTTCTACCAGCGATTTTATGAAAATAAAACTATAGATTCCAGATTTTTCAAACTGAGCATAAATAAGACGCTATTTTCTCCAAATTTTAGAAGAAAAAATAACAACATCAAAAAGATTTTAACCTCAGGAGAGAGCTTTGCGCGAGGGTTTGCGCGTTTGTCCATTTTTATGTACCGTAAAACGGGATATCTTTGGAAATGCGCGTAGCTTTGATAGTAGAATATTATAATTAAAGTTACTCTCTGCACTTTTTCCGAATTGGAAGCATTGGTTCTATATTGTAGCTTAGAGTATTGCCCTTGATATCGTATAGAGTTCCTTATTACGGGTTTCACTTCACGGTGAAAATGAAGTGAAGTGACCACTTGTCATTCACGATGAAGTGATTGCCGTGTAAATCAAATGGCAATCACTTCACCGTGAGTGATAAGTTGTCACTTCACCGTGAAGTGACATCGGTAATAAGAGCCATAGTTTGTGTTACATATTTTGCAAACATTATAAAAAAAAAATAAATTTCTTGTTTTTCGCCTGCTTGAAAAGGCACTAAAACAAGCACTTATTAAATGTATTTCCGTTTTATTGTATAGCGTAAACGCTCCTATAGTTGCGGTACGTTAGAAGCGTTAGGTTCCTATAGTTGTGTATTGAGTCTCCATACACAACTATAGGAACCTAACGCTTCTAACGTACCGCTACTATAGGAGCGTTTACCCTATAATATTGTCTTTTTATTGCTTATGATATTTTCTGTTAGAGATTCACGCATGTTTTTCTACATTCATCGAGCATTTTCAAAGTAATCCCAAATCAAAATACTGATTTTTTGGTCACAAGACTAAAAAATAGTGCAAATAAAATAATTTCCGACAAACGTATTACTAACGAACTGCCTCTAGGATCCTTAGTACTTGTTTAAAACAAATTGTAAAACTGTAAAATTGCACTTAAAAATAATTAGATTATACTTCGAAAAACTTTTAAAGTTTCCCCGTTTTACGGTACGTTACTTCCACCTTGGCTCATGTGCAGTGCTACATTATCTAAAATTCTTAATCTATCTTAAACTCTGACAAAGTTGCCAGTCGATAGAATTATCCATAATAGAATTTTTAATTGCACTACTGGAAGAGTACCCAAGTAACATTGTAAGTTTTATAGTGGTTTAAAGCATGCTACAAGTCTAAATCATGGTTTACAGAACCCTCATAAAACCAAAATTGTTACTTGGGTACTAGCCTCCAGAATATTCAGTTAAAAAATTATAATCCAGATTTAACGCAGCGACCACAAAACTCCGTACCGTGACCAACATACATACAGGGTGCGTGACGAATTTTCGCAGTAAATGGCATATTTGAGAAAAAATACACCAGTTAGTTATTCTAGCAATGAATTTTGTGTGATTTATTTTCTTTCGCAACATATGGAAGTTGTAAGTAAATTTATTCAAAAAAATTGCCTTCCCTTTCGACGACTGTAGTTAGACGCTTCCGGAAACTGCAGTATGCACGTTTTAAAATGTTTCGATCCATAGATGTCATCACTGCCTTGATTTTAGCTTTTAGCGATTTAAGTGTGGTGTGAGGGGTTCTATTGGTATCCCGTTGGACGAAGCCCTATACAAAATAATCCAACGGATTGATATCGGGACTGCTTGGGGGCCAAATTTCTTTCTCCCAAATTAACGAAATATTTTCCGTAAGCCATTTCTGTGCTTTATTAGCAGTATGAGCAGGTGCTCCGTCCTATCACTTTCCCAAGCCTTTTTTAATATTATACACTGTTCTTTCAGACACATTTACCGACCGAATTATTTCTTTCATGCATACTCCGGCGCGCAACAAAGCGACAACGGCTGACAGATTGCTCTCTTGTTTCGACATCTTTACGTTTACTCAACATTGTTTGTTTAAATCTTACACCTAACAGTATAAGCTATCCAGTGCTGCCAAATATATCTAAATCGTGATGCACAAGCATAAGAAATTACTATTTGAAATTTACTGCAAAAATTCGTCACGCACCCTGTATTTCCTATCCAACGGTTTCAATTTAATTTTTAAAGTGCTGCAAAATATACAGCAAGTGTGGTTCAAAACTTCCCCAGGAACGAGAGGGAAAAATGATGTTAATGTATAATTCAGAAAAAGTGACCGAAAGTGAAAATGGTAAATGCCACCTGCCGTAGAACAAAGTCCTTGAGCACTAAATTTTAGCCAATTGATGCTCTGAAAAATGTTGTAACCTCCTGCAAAAAATGAGTGCTCCAGAACTTATTTACCCCCTGACGGTATTACTGCATTTCCCCTAAATGTTTATATAAATTTGATAGCAACATTTCACAGACACGATAGTAAATCCAGCTACCATCAAAAACTAATGAAACGGCTCAAATCACAATATTTAACTTACTGTTTAACCTAACAGCTATAAAGACCAATGAAAAAAAAACTTTTTTAGCCTATCAAAATGGACATCTGCCGGCTTTGTATGGAGGCCAGTAACCTCAACCAATCGATGGCTGATGAAACCGTCCAGGTAATGGTGGAAGACTGCATTCAAATCAAGGTAACTGACTTGGTAGCTGATCAATTATTGTGCCAATCTAAACATTACTGACTTTACAGTTGGACATTCCGAACGAACTGCTCCCGTTGGACATTTGCGACGATTGCTACTACAAGGTGAAGGATTTCTCCGAATTTAAGGAAAATTGTCACACCATACAGGAGATGCTACAGCAGGAGATTGAGGAAAATCGGCGCGAGCAGGACGAAAGTAGTAGTTCGGGTTTCAGCTTGTTCGGAGATGACCTACAGTACTCGGATTTCATCGACGACGGTTTACTATTCGGTGATATATCGACGGACGATTTGTTGAGTGACTTACAAAACAGTTGCAACAGTAGTTGCAGTAACGATCTTGCCAATATCGCTAATGAGATTTTCAATGATAGCAATAATAATATCGATAACAATAATAGTAATAACGATAAAGACCAACAACAAGAAAACGACAAGACTGAAACGGAGCTTGCAGAGACGACGACTAGTATCGAGAATAAGAAACGCACGAGTAAACGATGTTATAGGAATGAATACACAGCGGCTCTGTTGACGTGTGAAATTTGCGGAAAAATGATTCACAAGACTTTACTCCCGGGTCACTTGAATATGCACAAAGGTATCAAACCATATGTCTGCCCCAAGGAAGGATGCAAGTCGACATTCCACTGCAAGCACAAACTTAAACGGCATCTAGGATACAAGCATACGGATGGGAATTTCCCTTGCAAGAAATGCGACAAAGTCTTCAATTCAAATCTGGCGCTATATCATCACACGTTCGCATCCCATCAACTGAGGGACAAGGTCTGTCAGGAATGTTATAAAACATTTCGGACATCGTAAGTTGTAATATGACGAAAAATAAATTAAGTGTTTAATCATGTAAATTCAATATTTTTAGACACGGCCTGAACAGGCACATGCAGACACACGCGCAGGAGAAATTCAAATGTGCCCACTGTCCGATGACTTTCGTGAAACATTCAGTACTCGAAAGCCACATTCGATTGCATACTAAGGAACGACCGTATGTATGCGCGAAATGTAACGCCGACTACAGTTACCGGAGACTGTTAATCAATCACATAAAGCGAAAGCATCCCGGCTCGGAGGCTATATTGCAAGAGATTGAATGTACTACCTAAAGGCCGGATATTCGATTGATTAAAACGCATTTTGTTATATTGTTTGACATCGGTGATTCAGTGTTCGTTGATAGATGTATCACACCCATCAATAGAAACGACATTTCAGTTTGAACAAAATTCAATTCTTTATTCAACACAAATACATTGATGTTACACTTAGATGCTAAAGGAGCTACAACTCTTAAAATACTAAATTTAATGATAGTTCTTCACATGAGATCCGATCATGAAACGCAAACACTAGCTATACTTTATCACAGTCATGCAAATAATTAAAATAGATTGTTCCTTAATCATCAAGCGAGTATTTAAAACGGTGCCTATATGGCAAAAAGATCAACCGGATGATTCAGCGGGTTTCCATTTTTTCCAAACTAATACCAATATGTACAGTGTACCTAGAGATGGAAAATTTTGCCTCCGGCTCGTTTACCGTGCTGAATGATTCGGCTAGCAAAGTTGCCCGAATGGAGTGAACTATAAACAGCCTCATCCATAATCTCCAACTATCTCGCACAGACAACGATGCATAGATGATAGCATTGCATTGGAATGGTGGCATTTCGGATATATTGCGGCACGAGTTGGAGCGGAAAAGAAAACGACAACAAGAGAAAAGAAAGGACAAATAGAGTAAGGGAAAGAAAGAAAGAAAAAAAAAACATTTCAGACAGGACACTGTATTTGCGACATATTCATTCGTTAGTTTTTAGTGTTTTTTTTTTTCTAAAACGACAGTTTCCATATATAGTACGCTCGATAAAACATTATTCATCTGTTTATAATTCTTCTAAAACAATATATTTAACACGACACTTTTTCAAATTTGGTAGATTCTATTCATAATAACGTTTTATTATCCTTTCACTCTGAATAAAACTTGTGTGTTATCACTGCATTTAACCTCTTTTGTGTGTTCTAAACAAATATGTATGTATAATCGTAAAGGTGTAATCTAGCCTCCCAGTCAATAACATAAGTCATATTTCATGAATCAAGAACAAAGTCCAATTAAAATGATACAATTTATAATTGTGATTCGGAGAAATTTTTTGCACAAAAGGAAACTTAACAGTTAAGTACGGCTAAGGTAAATTATATGATAACATTTATCGTGCTTCATCACAGATGATCTCACCAATATCGTGTGTATTTCGATATACATATATTTTCCTCAACAGTATTGAGGCGGCCAACACCCGCACCAAGCTTCAAAGGATCCGATCCGATAAAGTCTATCTGCCTGCGTTATACTGTTTTCTCGTAAAACCAAATTGAAACCAAACTATAATAATAATTGACTAAAACTTAAACGATAACAGCCCGTGGACTAAAACGCTTCGTTGATTCTCTTTCATTTGCACATTTTCAATGTTGGCACGTATCGTTCTGTAAACTATCTTTGTGTGTGTGGGACGTCGGTTGGTTTCTGTCAGCATTGTTCAGACTATTTTAGCACTGATAAGACCGGAACAAATCTCAAGTTTAGATTTTATTATGTTGTAGAATATCACCTTGTTATTTTACAGAATTTTTACATGCATTGGTACTAGACCAGAACGGCATGCCAGGTCCTTGAAATCGGATCAGCCGGTTACAGTTGTTGAAAACGAACGTCATTTCTAATCTTGTATGGCAATTCACTAGGTAAACCGCCTTCAATCTGATCGATCCCCCTTGTTCGCTGCGCACATTTTCGTCTTTTCGGGTCGCTACCAAGGACCATTTTCATTGGGTCGTTATTCGACATTGTTACAATGTGCCCATCCCATCGTAGTCACCCGATTTTCACATTCGATATAAATGTCGTAACTTACAAACCTGCTGCAATGCCACTTAATTTTCTACAGTGATCCAACAATTTCCAAGCTAAATCCATTTTTTTTTTCAAAATTCGTTTAAATTTTGTAGAAGTGAGGCTTGAAGAAATTCCTAATTGAGGTAAAACTTTTCAAAGCAGATTCAAAACTGAGTCTGAACTTTTTTGAAGTGAGTTTAAACTTTCGAATAAGTCAACAACATTTTTCTAACTGAGCCTAATCTTTTCTTTTATGTTATTCAATCCTTTTAAAGTTGTCAAAGCTTTCCTGAAGTGATCCAACATATCCCGAACCCGAGCTTTAAAGAATTGGTTTCGCATTTTCTGGGGTGAGGCCACATTAGCTGATTTAATCCCTTTCCTAAATTAATCCAAGGTTTCCTGCATTGATTCAACTTTTTCGAACTGAATCCAAACTTGTCAGAACGGGTTTGACATTTTCCTAAGTGAGCCCCAGATTTTTGTTAACTGCTTGGCATTTGGCAAGGACACAATCTTGTTTAGGTCATCTAGCTTTTCAAAAAACGTAGAAAGTTTTCCGAAGTGAACCGACACTTTTTTTAGCTTAAATTTTCCAAACTGAGTCCAACCTTTTCTGAAGTGATTCAGGGGTGGGGAGTTCAAACTTTTCTGTTGAGTGATTGAATTATAATTAATGTTAGTCTCAGCTTTCCTGAAGTGATTTAACTAATTTTTAACGTAGATTCTGCTCCTCTAGACCCCTTCCTCGTTCTTGTGAGATGCACAGAAATTTAGGTTTCTTGACCAGCCAAGTTGGATTTTGGCCCCGTCCTTTGAAAAACAGGCTTGGATTGTATATAATAGACCTTTGTGAGTTCATACGTGATGGTAGATTTTTTTTGAAGCCAGGTTGGATTTCGGTTGTATCGTTTGGAATTTGTGCTTGGATTTTAAAGAATGGAACTTGCTGAATCCATACGTGAAGGATGAACCTAGTTAATATTCACAAAAGTAATTTAGAAATTTGATTCTTCTGTTTTGCCGAACTGAATGTTGGCTCCTAAGTTTTAAAATTGGGCTTGTATTACATAGAATGGAACTTGCTGAATCCATACATGAGGGTTGAACTTCTCAATTTTTGAGAAAACCGAGTTTGAATTCACATAAGTACGTATTTTCACAGAAACTTTGATTTTCTGTTCTGCCAAGTTGAATTTTGATTCCACTAGACTTGGATTTTATAGAATAAACCTTGCTGAATCCATACGTGATGATGCATTTTTTAAGCATGTACGTATTTTCATAGAAATTTGGGTTTCCTGTTCAGCCAAATTGAATTTTGGCTCCATCCTTTGAAAAATAGCGAAGACTACAAACCAAGAAGACTGGCAACTGGTCCTTTTTCCCATACAAATGTCAAACGTCACTGATAACAGCGCCTCTGTCAATTGAAGGTGGAAGTTTGAAGCACAAATGTTAGTGAGACTGCTCATAAACAGTGACTGTGTGTGTGACCTGATGTCCACGAATCGAATAATCATAACACGGTACTCGTTGTTGTTTTTGTTTTGCTCTACAAAATTTCACGGCAATTCGTATCCTAATCCCAGCCGGTGATTTTCCAACTCCAAACCGAAAAACATGTCATGGTGGAACAAGTAGAGGATTGAAACTCGGATCGATACCTAGTGAAAGTAATTTATACTTGTGAACGAGGAACCGAAATATTGATTGTTTTGCCTGTTGGAAGCTTCTACTACCATTGAGTGAACAACCATCATTCGGAAGCTGCTGAAAATTCAAGGATTAAAAAAAAAAGAAAGATCCGGTTCCTACATCATCATCCAACGTAAGGCGTAGCTGGATCTAATGTTGGAGAAAGTTAAAATGAAAGGTTGAAGGACTATAATCCCAAACGGTACGTATTGATAAATAATATATTTCCATTTTAGATGTTGTCAGAACATGAAACCACCGGATAGTGATCCTCTGTATGCTTTAACAATTCTTGGAATCGACCGACACCTTCCAGAGAATGATAACAACAGTGTTGGTTTGACCAGTGAGTCTACAGGGTCGGTTTGGCCAGCCATCTTTTCTTATAACTTACACATACAAAATATCATCATAATATCTTATTATTCCATAACTTAATAAAACATTTCTTTAGCCTTAGCCTTTAGCTTCAAATGGTCAGCGAATACTGTGTCAAGTTGCCGAGCGTCACAACTTAACTCCCCCCACTGTGGCCAGATGCCAAAGCCAAGCGGAACGGGCATGTATTTTACTAATGCACCATACGAATGCCCATAAATGCATCACTAAAGGGCTTAGGAAAAGTGAATTTCTGAGATTGCAAATTAATGATCGAGGAAGGTCCCACCATCATTGTGAATGGTATCATTGCCATAGTTTTGATTTTCAAAACAAATTTACTTACGCATCTGTTCAATTTCAGCTGGAATTTTACTCGTTGTCAGCTTGATAAAGCAAAGAAAGAAACGTTTCACTTTTTACGACAATCATAACAAAACCAATAATTGATAACTATTTGTTTCTACTTATGTGTGTGAATGCATGCGTGAATTAACACACACCATCATACAAGGTTCCACTTTTGCTCAGAAGAGGCGTTGCCGTTACTGTCTCCTGATTTTTGGCAGAGTTGCCAGTCTTCTTGATTTGTAGTCTTCGAAAGTAGTCAAGGATTTTATAAAATTGCTGAATCCATGCGTATTGTCCTAGAAATTTGATTTTTCCGTTCTGTCGAACTGAATTCGGCTCCTATATTTGAAAAATAGGCTTGTATTTAATAGAATGGACCTTGCTTAATTCGAAAAGTATTTTTTTTAGAAAATTAGGTTTCCTTTTCTGCTAAGTTGGATTTTGATACCGTTCTTTGAAAATAATGCGTGGTGATGATTATTGTTTTTAAGTAAACACAAAGCCATGTTTAAATTGACAAAAGTACGTATTTGTGTTAAATTTGGTTGATTTTCAGCCAAGATGGATTTTGGCTCCTTTCTTAGAATATTAGGGTTGGATTTTGGATCCTAAATCACAGATTTTTTAAAACACGCGCATTTGTTGAGAAAACTGGAATTAAATTCACAAAGTAGATATTTTCATATCAATTTGGGTTTTCTGTTCTGCCATGTTATATTTGAATAAAGAGGAACTATCAAAAGCAGAACGTTTTTGTAAGAATTATTACGTTTGTGGTTGTGGTGGCTTGATGGTTTACCCGGAATTCAACATTCATCTACATTATTACCAATGTTCTGCCTTGAAAGGATACAAAAACTTATGCGCTAAATGTCTTGTTGATAACCCGAGTGTTGTTGTTGATAACCCGAGTGATAACCTCGACTGGTGCGAGCATCGAGTGATAAAAGAAAAACTTGTGATTTATTCCGGACTAATGCCTTTTCGTTCTTCTGATCATAAATGAGCGGATAATGTTTAGCCCTTAGACTTATCATAAGGATTCGCTTAGAGCTTAGATTTATATGAATGGATGTACAAAAGGTACCATAAATACATTTTGTATGGAAGTTGTCGCATTTTTTATGGTGCACACTGTAGTGCATAAATCTTATTATACACCATAAAAAAGTTGTTGAATATTCCATCGAAACTGCTACACCTACATAAGGGTAAATCATAGGTTCATTTGACGTAACCACACCCAAGTAACAATGTTGGTTTTATGAGGGTTCTGTAGAGCATGATTTGGAATTGTAGAATGCTTTAAAACCTCGATAAAACTTGCAATGCTACTTGGGCACCGTCGGGGGATTTGTGTATCTGCGTTTTACTATTACATCAACAGCCGTGGCAACTGTTATAAAACTATTTTTTGTTATGTATGACTGGTGGTGCAACTTTTTGTGCTACTAGTGAAAAGACATAGGATATTTGTGGAAAAACGCTAGACTCAAAATCATTTAAAATGACATCGAGCATAAAATAAACGGATCCAAAATTAATATATCAATAAAAGCATACGTAAAGCAGGAAAATTCTCTCTCTATGATGCGACACAGCCTCATCCCGAATTTTATTTTTACATTATGGCCGAAATGACTGGAAACCCAGACAACCCGAATGCACGTATATTCAAAATTGTATCTGTGATATACTAACATATATACAAACAAACAAATCATATAGAATGCTAAAAAAAATACTAATACGTACAAAAGCGGAGGCCATATACGAGCAAATTTTGATTTCTATTCAAAGGAGTTGATTTTACATCATATACGATTTAATCAATCTGTAACAACAAATTCAATGTAATCCGATTTAATTTGTGATTCTGTACGATAAAAAAAGTTGCATTCTATACGATTTAACTTAAACGTAATGCGATGTATGTCATTCTTATAAGCGATGTTGACTTGAACTGTAAAACATTACGATACTTAGTTGAAGATGCTAATTTCAAATAACAGACTAGAGTGGTAATTTTTATACGATAGATGAGGAAATGAAAGTATAGAGTTGATAGTTCCATTAGAGTACGGCAGTGTGAAATTGTATATATATATTAGAGAGAGAGTAGAAAGCGAGCAAGAACAACTTTTATGAAAGTACAAATCCGTTTGATCATCTCTCTTTACCAAACTCCCCCGTTGGAGAGGGATGGTGAGGGGTATCCCCCGCCACTGCCGTACTCTAACTGACCTATCAGCTCTATGCTTTCATCTCCTCATCTATCGTATAAAAATTACCACTCTAGTCTGTTATTTGAAATTAGCATCTTCAACTATGTAAATCGTTGACTTCACGCAGAAGTAATATAAAAACAAATAGTTAAAATTACGATACTGTATGTACATTTTTATACGACTTCTGGTTGTCTGGAAAATACGCTAGATGAAGCGTAAGATATGACTAACTAAAAAAAGATACAGCTCTGGATAAACTGAGGTTGACCACCAATGCTCTAGAGTTACCCTATTATATGAATACACCATATAAAGTTTCTTAATGATTGCTCAAGCATGCTTTCAATAGAAAAAAAACTGTCGGCTAGAATTATATGTCTTGTTGAATTGATCCGATGCTCTGACAGTCTTCGATGTACTTGAGTGAACACATCGTAGAAATCATTTGAACTCACTCTAGAAATGTTATGACTAACATGGAAGCAAATTCAATTAATTAGATGGTGTGTGCTTCCTGGCGGCATTAAATCGAAACTGTGTCCGATACTCAAGCACATGCAACCGCTTTGAGGTTGTGTGCGTGGATTTCTTTCCTGGTGTGCAGACGCAAGCCTTACGAGTAGCATTGATGGCTATCGCTCGTTTTTTTTGGGGGATTGATGGAAATCTATTCAACTCAACAACTTTACTAAAATGTGACAGAAGCGATTATTTGTTGTGTTCCAGTTGGTCAGAGTTACAATGTATTTTTTTTTTATCGAAAGCAACATTATTTCAAGAAGCGACATAAAATTGCCGATAGATGAATTTAAAAAAAAAACTTCTCCAGAACTCAAGGTTCAATAGAAACTAAAAAAAAAATCAGATTTTTTAACACTGGTCAAGCAAGAAGATCAAAAAAGAATACTTCGAATGAAACATGAAAATTGTTCAGATTACTCCGGAAATAATATAAGCCTTTGAAAAAACATTGATCTTCATACTCTCAAAGTAGATCACTTAAGCTAATAATAGAAGATTAATAGCTGAATAATAAAAGAATTATAGGACATTTTTTACAGTGCAGAGATCGAACTCTTCTGAATGAATTTAAAACCCAAAAATACACTTGATATCTATTAAAAATTCAAATACCTGCTCTAAAGGATTCAAAATTCTTTTCCAAGGAAACCTCACGAGACTTCAGTTGACACATTTGATCTATACGGATGGTTCAGAATCTTCAACAGAAATTGATAACTTTTACATTGAATTTAGAAGACATCTATGCGAAAGTTCTCAGTCAGCAATGAAATGTAAAGAAGACTTTCGAAAACTGAAAAAAGTTCTCTCAAGGGACTGATGACTTAAGATTGATTGCTTATTAGGTGGTATTGTTAATTTAGCATTTTTTAGGTCATTTGATCATCAAAAAAACTTGAACAAAGGTAAATCTACAAAGGAAAATATGTCATCTTTCTCTAAGAACATCTGAAGCCTACCGACATCCCACACAGTTCTCTAAATGTATACATACCTTTTATACCTACTTCCCACAAAAGATTTCCCATAGCTAATTTATAGGTTCATAATAAAGCTAGCGTATTCCAAAATAATTCAATAACTTAGAACATACAAAATATACAAAATTTGGCAAATAACAAAATACTAGGTATCGTAGATACCATTCTAGCTGGGTTGCATGTGGAATAGATTTGATCAATTCCCCATCACATCCCCAGGTGTTTATGTCACGTTGTCTCTTTCTTCTTCATTGCGATGCAAACAAGATCAAAAGTAGGAACACACTACTATTCTAACGCTTTCTCGATATGGGCTGAAATGGGGAAATACAGAGAAAAAAAAAACGAAAAACCAACTCAACATAAATCTTTAATAAAAACTTAAAATAATCAAACAAAACCATGCATCCTCGAAAAAATATCAAAGAACTGGAACTACATAAAATTAGAAAGATTTTTAAATAAACTCAATGCCTAAACTATTAATCTGGTTAATCGCGCTATTCGCTTCCTCGGCAACAGCCTATTTTGACGTAATTAATCAACAGTATTAAAAATCATAATTGTTAGATTGTTTTATCCATACCGTCATTCGTTAACGGGAATGGCAGAGGCCGTGCATGCGTTTAATTAGTGTAAGAAAACAGAAAATAAGAAAACCAATAAAACACTGCTGGTAGTGGAATGTAGTAGCAGTTGCTAGCTTCACGTGTATCAACGTTTTAGTTTACTTTTGGACTGCTTTCTAATGTCGAAATCACAAGCTGGAAAACCACTTATTTTACATTCTATTCATTCTAATCATTTAGCGCCCTACCCGACTAGATCAAATTTCCTTTTAGGGTTAGTTATTACATGCTATCCTAATTTTGCAAAATATAAAGACAATTTTTTGGTCAGCTACTCCCCAATTTTCATATCGACTAGATCCATCTAGTTCCTTTAAATTCCACTATCCCTTCAAAATGTGTTTCAAACAATGCAATGATGACACACGTGCATGTTAGACAGTGGTTAGCAGCGCAATATTAATAGTAGTTGTTTCGGCATTTAGCAGTTAACACCCCGTACCCACTCACTTAGTCGCGGTTTTTGTAAAAAATAGTACGATCATCCGAAACAAGTCGTATACTTACGCGATTAATCGAGTTACGGCGGATACTACTGTCACCCCGAGAAGTTCGGTCGTCATCGTCGATGCACAGGTCCGAATCCGAATCGGCACGTCGCGTTGGGCCCTCCTTTTGAAAACATAAATTCTTATTAATAAACTTGAAATTACGGAAAAGTATTCCTAAGGATACAAACCTGCGTCAGTTGCTCAGTAGTCGTCAGCAACCTTGCCAGTGGGCTGAGGCATACTGGAAGCGTTTCCAATAGCGTTGGACGCGAGTGTGTCAGCAATGGTTTCATGTACCTGTGTGGAAAAGTTATAACACATTGTTAAGGCAGGTAGTTTGAAATAAGGAAGCCCGTAGTTCTGGGTACCTTGTATCGAAATTGCCCCAAACACGGGCTAGAACAGCTTTCTCGTTACCTCTCCTGGTTCCACCAGGAGTCGTTGCTCCTTCGCTGTCCTGATTTTCGAGATCCTAAATGGTGGAAAATAGTTGTTCAAAACTCCGACGGAACTAACCGAACTTGAAGTTGGTAACATATGATTCGATTATACAACAAATAAATACACATAACAAGGATACTGAAAACAGGATGAACATGAGCAAGTGTCGTTTGTTAAGATAAACTGATGTGGAAACTATGTTTGGTAACATTGCTCGGTTAATGCAGTTTTTGCTATCTGAAAAGTCCAGGGAAATCTTAGATGAAAGGCATCCTTGTTTGCATACTGCGTTCTTTTTTAGGAATTAAATATGAACATTCAAGTTTACACTCCTTGTCTTAAGAACAACTTTGCGGAAATAAAAGAATTAATTAAAAGTCAAAACATAAAATAGGGGGATGGGAAGACCAAAAAACGGGAAAATCTCTAAACGAGATCGTTGTGCTTTAGAATTTTCGATATGACGGAGCAAATGGCTTTAAAATATATGGTTTTGAGCGATGCAGAAAAGATTGATGACAATTCTGAAGGTTCCCTTGCAAAAAGATGATGCCGGATGCAAGTAGATGCGAGAAATTAAAGAAGATTTTCGTAGATTTATTCAATATTGTGAGATTTTACGAGCATCAAGAATGGAGATTTAAATGTGTCGCCTCCCACGGTTTTGAGGCTTTCGTATACACTAAGTTCTTGATGATCTGCCTCCATTAGTTAAAAATTTAACTCCCAGGAAAGCCTTAAATTCGTGACTATGTCAAATCGAAAATTCTATTCATACAAGTGAAAAAACTATTCAGTTCGCATGTGAATGTAAGTATTATTTGATTCAAGTAATGACAAATGACAAAAATGTGTGTTAAATTGATTGGAAAAAATATTTAGTAGTAAGTACAAACATTTCAAAAGGACGAGACTACTTTTGTAAACAATGATCTCAAATCATCATATCTCACGAATAACAAATTTGCCCGCAAACTAATCATACTATCCGGTATGGGAAACTATTTTTTAGTTCGTTTATTTGCAAGGCTCTTAACGTTTAAGAAACAAGTCTACGGAGCCAATTCATTAAAATGAATATAATTATGATATATAGAGGAAGGAGAGGCATAGTGGGACATAATGGGCATCCTGTACTTTGGTCTTAGATTTATAATAATTGTTCAAAACAAATTAATTGGTAATAGGTTCAGTATCAATATGATATTGAACCTACGTCTAATTAATTAGTTTCGAAAAATTAAAAATTTCAGGGTTAAAAGTACAGACTACCTCAGAGCACGACGCTAAATGTAATATTACTTTTCTCCTTGCTTTTATTTTAATTTCTTTATAAAACCCGGTTTAGTTGAACTGCGAAATAAACATCCAGTAAGTTGGTCGATGGGGTCTCCCTTAGCTCAGTCGACACAGTTTCAGCTATAAAGCAAGACCATGCTGTAGGCGGCTTGGTTCGATTCTCGGTACAGGAAGTTTTCGGATTGAAAAATTTCTCGACTTCCATGGGCATAGAGTATGATTGTACAGGCTTATAAATCTCTCAATTAACAATTATGAAAGTGCGCAAAGAACTTTAAGTTGAGGGCCGGCGTAAAATCCCAGTAGGGCCGTAATAAAGCAAAAGAAGAAGAAAAATAAAAAGAAGAAGAAGAAGTTGGTCGACGTAGGACTTGCTATATTCGATATCAAGTCAAATGTTGATTTAATTCACCCCTGATCTGGTAATCAGTGTTCGATTACCTTGACATCGAATAGAACAATTTCAATTGAATTGACATCGGAAAGTAGGGATAGGATAAATAAATGTCTGTCTAACGACATGTTATTCATTCCTGGAGCCAAGGAAATAGCTCTTCCATACCTCACTTCTAATGGATATCACTTCTCCATACTGGCCGGATTACGAAAAGAGATCAGGTTTTGACCACATATAACTCTGTCAATAGCAGATGGATTTTAATTCTAAACAAGCCAATCGATTGGAAATTTATCTATCAATCTGCTAAAATGAACATTTTATTAATTGTTATTAGGTCACTATTGAAAAATACACAAATGAGAGATCCGAGTAGGCTCTGCCCGCGAACGGTTGGTTTTGTTTTCGCTGGCGCTGATTTCATCTGTTTTCCGCATATTTTTTAACTGTACCAAATCAAAAAAAATATTAGTTTTCGCGTATGGACAAGTGTAAATTAAGATCTATGACGTTTTAAGAAGTTTGTTTAGTGATATTGTATTTAACGTGAAAAATCTGGGACAAGAATTTGTTTCGAGTAGCTGTGTTGCTGTGGTGTCGCGTTGGTCGGTTTTTCTTTTCGCTTGCTTTTTGGTGCTTTGCCTCCCTCCCAAGAAGAGTTTTACCCAGGGGGAACGACACTTCAGGATTATCCCATTTTTACCCAAATCACTCCTAAAATTTTCAACGTGCACAAAATTTCAACCCATCCTTTCTATTCCCAACTTATCCCTTCTGCATGCACACAAATCACCAAGCAAGCCATGCAGTTTTCAAGTCGATCGCGAAGCACTGTCAGTTTTCAATGATCTCCATAATAAACATGGTGTTAAAAAAATTTTATACGCGTTGAGTCGTTCAAGGTGGCGATTATCCTGGCGAAGCTGGTGGAAATGATCAAAGTTGAAACGTGAAGGAATGAATAGTACGAAGGTAAGGGGCTGTGCATAAACTACGTAGACAGTTTAGGGGGGGGGGGGTTGACAATTATCCACGGCCCATACAAATTTTAATTTTTTTGTATGGACAATTGTCTACGCAGGGGGAGGGGGGTGAAGAATCCCAAAAAAAAACTGTCTACGTAGTTTATGAACAGGCCCTAACCACCACTTATATCTATGCTGAAGGCCAAGGATGAAGTGATTTCTCGATTGGATTCCCGGGGGAGCTTAAATTAAAATAAATGACGGACCACTCGTCTACAATCGGTCGCGGGCGCAAATACATCAAGCGCGTCATAGAGGAGATAAACAAAAATGACAAATGAGAACATCTAAAATAAGAAGCAGTAAAAATCGTTGAATTGTTCATTTTTTAAACTGAATTTGAAAGAATTAATAAAACACACTCGATTCAGTCCAATGTAAATGAAAAGAATCATAAAATTGATACTGAACCCCAAATTTTCAAACGTTGAATGTGAACATTCACAGATTTTGAGTGGTGCCAGTATTGCACGAATCCGACGATATATCTCGCCCTCTCATTTTTGGAGAGTCGATAGAATATTATAGGGCAGGTGTGGGATGAGCAGGATGACCAGTGAACCGGGAAATTGGGACATAGCCGGGAATTTCAATGAAAAATCGGGGAAAAAAAATTCCTAATCTATTTTTCAGAAAAAAAAAAAGATTTTGGGACTTTGTCAGGGATAACAAATTATTTCAGATGATATTAAAGGTAGTTTTAGAAAGCGCTCTAACAGACTTTCACTCCAAGTCACTTTTGTGAGTTTAAATTCAGGGTAGAATTTTTAAGTAAATCTGTGCAGAATTGCAAATCGATTGTGAAGATCACAGTGTCGTAACCGGACCGAGGTTTCCAGCCTCGGTAACGGCTACACGAATCCGCGATGCTGCTATTCCTGCAGCTGCTGTCGCTTCTGCTGGCTTTCACAAGTTTCGTTTGCGTGTTTAGAATTAAAGGTTTTTGCAGTTTCGTCGTGGAATCGATACATTCTATCAGTAGATGGATTTTGTAGTCCAGCTGTCACCAAAAAAACATTATTTTTCACTGAGCATTGACTAAAATGGCTACTTCGATTTTTTTCTTTCGTACTGTTTCATTTCAGTTGCACGCATCCCCATGACAATTTAAAGCACCCTAGTATCCAATGCAATCCCATTAGGAATCCCATATATTTTTTTTATCCTTACTCTATTTTCGTCAAGACGACAAATTCAAAAAACTCTCTTCAATTACATTATTTTTACAGGCAAGCATGGTAGAATAAAATTCATCTGAATGAGTGTCGTTCCCCCTGGTTTTACCGGGTTTTTTCTTCTCTTGGTGCTGGCGTTCTGCCTTCCGGAGGATGCACGCAAATGAGGTGTCAGGCAAAAATTCGGTGCAAATGAAAAACTTCGCGTGTGATTCAAAATGTCGTGTTCGGTTGTAAAAACAACGCGGAAGATTTTTTCGAATACCGCGAGTGAACAAACCGGTGCTTTTTCGGAGGCAGAATTTGGTGAGATACTTCTGATTTATAATCAATCATAAATGCATGTTTCCATATATTACTAAATACGCGCCAGATTTCGAAACATCACATTTCGAAATCTGGAAGTGTGTTTGCAGTACCATTATTCATATGATAACGGTAGTGTTTACATGCGGGGCTTATTGTATGTGAAAGTAACCTCGGAATGGATGTGAATTACCAGGTATTCTGAAATGGGTTGCTGAATCTGCAGTAGAGCTATCGCTTTCTAACTCCCGGACTAAACTTGCTTTAAATTATTACATCAAGGATTTTTGTAAGCAAATTTCTTCCATAATACCACTGTCGGCCAGTCGGGGTTAGATTGAACACACACACATACACACTATTGAAAAATACACAAATGTCCAACTGTTGCAATGGTGATCAAAATTATCACCTATTGCCTGCAAACAGCGCATTCCCTAACTCAAATTGCTTCCGAATTTCGAACAATCGAAATTTTTCACTAATAACGAGTTAAGAATTTAATATTTACTATACTTTTGCTGTGACATCATAACTACCTTTCGTAATCCTACGTCAAATCTACGGTCGTGTCTTGGATACAACCTCTTACTTTTTCCATATTAGAGAGTGGTATAGATTTTTCTCCTTTACGATTTACGGTTTAGCGACTTGCAGTCAATTTAATTTACCTATCATTATGTTCAAACTTTCTTACAAATTTCTCCTTTACTTTACTTAAATCTTGGTTTTTTTTAGTTAGGAAGGTTCCGATCCTACGCATTGTAGTTTCATTTTTATACCTGTGATCTTGACATTTTTACATAGGGGATGAGTACTTTAAGGGGGTTAGATTTTGATAAGATCTTTAGTAGGAATGACACGCACATTGTAGTCGAAATACGTATCTGTCATAGATACCAAAACCAACTAATTCACTAGTTTACGAGGGTTGATCATATTTAACCATCTGAAATTATTATTTCACTGAACATCGTCAAAAAACAAAAAAAAAAACATTTGTTTACATTCATATGAGCGGTGAATTGGAGATCTAACAACGGTCAAGGGTTCCCTTCACTGCTCACTCAAAAAGTAAACTTAAAATAGACATTACCTCAATACCTCAATAACTTTCAAACTTGCTATAGGGGTAGGAGAAGCATAGTGAACAGGTGGAATATTATGAGCATCCCGCACTTCAAACTGAAACCCCCAACTGTTCAAAACAATTTAACTGGTAACATCATATAGATATTGAACCTGCCACCAGCAACCCGCAACGAACAACCATAAATCTAAGCCCCTAACTATGCCCCTCCTTTCCCTATAATACAATAAATGGCAAGAAAAGAAAGAAAATAAAAGAAAAATATTTCCTTTACGGCATGAGCGGTGAGTGGAACCCCTGTCCCGAAATCAATTTTAACAGCATTGTTTTGGATGTTTTACATTTTTTTTCCTTTATGATGATAACCTTCAGCAATCAAGTGTAAAAATATGCTCAATATATTAATCATTTTACTAACAATTGGCGATGACGGCACCGTCGAAAAATTTACTCTCTCAGCAAATTTAGACAGTTTCTTATGGGAATTTTCGGTGGAGTGAAAGGATAGTACAAAGTCCGCCATGTTTCACACACAGTCTGACGTTTGCTTATGGATTTTCTCATAGGAGTAAAGAGCTACATAGTCGCCGTCAACGCCAATGGGCGCTTGATTTTGATAAAGTGAGCGGTGTAAGGGCACCAGATTGTATAATTCTGCTATACGTATCTCAAAATTGATCGTACAGCAGTACTTAAATTTAAGAAAAACGGCTCTAAAAGCACACAAGTGACTCAGCATACATTTATTAATTATTGGCTCAGTATTTGACATATTTGGTTGAGTTTACAAGAAGTTAGAACAATTTAAGGAAAACGCCTTTTTCTTGAAAAACCTTATTTTCTTGAAATAAAATAAACATAACTAGAAATTTAGCTCATTTTAAGTCCGAATAAAGATTATTGATCTCCCACTAATTTAACTAAAATTCGTTCACTAGGTAAAAAGTTGAAAATCGAGCGTTTTACTAAAATAAATCTAACTTCATACAGGCTCCTTCAATAAAGACCAAAATCATAGCAATAAATCAATAAATATCGGTTCAATCACCAGCCACGATTATAATATTATTATTTACAATACGAACAATTTTTATGTTCGAATCAGTTGCTTCAAAATGTGGTAGAAATTAGCGAATAACTAAGAGAAATAAAGCATATTTAAACAATTTAAGGAGAAAATGTTATTAATGATTGTACTTTTTTACTCTACTCACTAATAATCATGAACAGCTTTTTAGTGGTAGAGATGCTTAAGGCAAACTTACGATAACCGTAACTTTTGACGATAGAACGATTTCGTCGTAGAATTTTAAGAAATACAACTGGAAAAAATGCTAAGCAACTGGAAGCCAATGCCTATTTGAAGCAGTTGGAGTAATATTGCAGATTATTTTTAAGAAGCGTTTGCTCAAGCTTATTTTCAAATGCAGAAATTGTGAAAAAATACTCTATATTTTCAGACAAAAATAGGATGGATAATTATAGAATGCTTCAAGAAGAAAAGCAAAGCAAAACCAAGCTTGTGGCGGTGGTGGTGGCGGTTTTGATCCCCAGCCTTGTCCGACTCTTTTCGGATAGTTGCTAAATGCGATGGAAGGATGGATAGTATCGGATCTATCTGTTCCTCAATCGACGAGATCAAGAGTGGGAGCAGTAGACCGTAGGTATATATAAATATGGCGCATCTCACCGACTTCGAGTTGGTTGATGATGTGGTTTTATTATTATAGGCCAAATCGTTAATTGTCAAAACGAACAACCTTTTCAGCTTTTTATAACAAGTTTACAATATTATTGCAGCCACACAGTTCGAAAAAGTAGTGTAAATTTATGTTCAGTATAATGCACATAAATGGAGCGTCACAGATCACATAAGTTTACATTACATATCATGTAAAATTCTGAGGCATTTCATGCAATGTATCAAATATTGTATACAAAAGCCCATTGTTGTAAACAACATTGTTTACAAGTTGCTCGCTTGAGTGAAATGAAATACAAGTTTACGTGAATGAATGTTTACATCACTATTAAAATTCAGAATTTCTATCTGTGCAGACTTGGGACTGAGAGCGACACCGGTGTATGCATCAGGAGGCCTAAGACTGCCTACACAGATAGAAATTCTGAATTTTAATAGTGATGTAAACATTCATTCACGTAAACTTGTATTTCATTTCACTCAAGCGAGCAACTTGTAAACAATGTTGTTTACAACAATGGGCTTTTGTATACAATATTTGATACATTGCATGAAATGCCTCAGAATTTTACATGATATGTAATGTAAACTTATGTGATCTGTGACGCTCCATTTATGTGCATTATACTGAACATAAATTTACACTACTTTTTCGAACTGTGTAGGAGTTTACGAAATTGGAGTTACAGAGGAGATCATACGTCAACGGTTTACAATTTGTGCTTGGTGACCTCACAATTTTCATCGATGTCATTAGTATATGATATAAACAAAAAATTCAGAACATGGACGTGTGTAGAAAGTGAACGTGGATCAGCCAAACATTACGAACGAGCAAAAACTAAATCTGCGAGCATGCGCTAGTTTGGAATCTGGCATCAGGAAATCCCAGCAGAAGCAGACCAATGGTTTCACGGCGGTGGCAGACTCATGGGTTCACCCACTATGGAAGTCTTTCATGTTGGCCCTATCTACCTGTGGGTCTCAGGATACATAATTAGTGAGAATATGGATCAACTTTATTTATGTACACGGTAACCGCAATACTGACTATAAAGTATGCATTTTTGAGAGAAAATGGGACTGTCCATTAAAAGAGTAAAATTTTACTCTTAAATGAGTAATTCTTACTACAGAAATAAGTAAAAGCTTTTAACTTGTGAATAACAGTTACTCATAAATGGGTAAAATTTTTACTCATTTAATGGGTAGTCCCATTTTCCCTCGAAAATGCAAGCTTTGTATTCATTATTGCGTACTTTATAGTCATTACTAAGTATTTTGCGGTTACCGTGTACATACATATATTTTTATTAAGAATCCATTTTTGCATTCCAAATTAGCGAAGGAACCTGTTTTGCTTACAGTTTTGATATTCTTTAGATGAAGTAAATCTTGTGTTTGGTTGCACTAAATTACACTCAATTTAATACACTGACAATAAAGAACTTTAGGATTTCAGTTGAAAAATTGCGGTCTAAGAAGTTCGAATCGAAATTGCAGCCAAAATATGCTCTATATCAAGGAGTACCAGAACGGCTGAATAAAAGCTGGATTGTCGGGGGTTTCCCTCACAAATTTACTATTCAGTCAACATTTTTTATTTGGTTGGGAGTTCCAATAGGATCAAAACACCATATAGAAGATATCTTGTAATATTTCATGAAATTTGATAGAAAACCTGACATTCCCAGGATTAACAGGTGCATGTAAGTTCAAGACTCCCGTGGATTCCAGAAAGTTAATTTACCCACTACAAAGGAACACAAATTTAACGAACATAACATTAAAGAAAACAAAACCTATAAGTCTTTCTTACCAATGAGCTACTCCTTCTATTAACCTGCAGCTGACTCAGGTTCAAGCCGACGTCGATAGACTGAGTAGTTATGTAATTTTTTTTTTTTCGATTATGCAACAAGGAAGGGACAGTTGGCAGAACCGCAGGTAAACATTACAAATGTTCGGAAGCGGTAGTCACGAGCCGTAGTCGAATTTTCGTTTGTGAGCAGGGGTGCGTGCACGTATGAGGAGAAAAACAAAGTCAGAAAGGATTTTAATGTATAACACATGTATAACAGAGACATTACATTTCAGTTCTGGGAAAAGATTACAAATCTAATGATGTGCATCCAGTGCACGTGTATAGAGAAGCATTACAGTGAAGCGAATAAGGGCATGCAGTTTTGGAATGAAATAGAGTTAGAAAAAGAGATAAAGAAGAGCAAACAAGCTCCAGAGTTACAGCCACACTTTGTTAGTCTACTTTGGATAGTGGAATTTCGATAAAAAAAAAGCCTAATATGAGAGATTGATGTCGACAGATAATTTTGAAACGTACCCCGGCTGTATTCTCCATGGAATTGTACACCTTTCGGGTGTCGATGCAATTAGGTCAGACATTGCAGAATCAAAGACGTGAATTGCGTGTGAGCGAGAGAAATAAAAGTTATGAATAAAAGAACAATGTATGTATGTACAAAAAGTTGCTGTTAATAATAATCGTGGAAAAATCTAATGTGCGCATGTGATCAGAGGAAAGATTATCTAAGAAAATCGTGTTCAAATCTTACGCTTCTCACTCCTTGATACGGCAGGGCCTCCGTTTCGTCATCAACGCCAACGCTGCCAAAGGGTATAGCCATTAGATTCATTCCTGCAAATGTTTCTGGACAACATTGACATTTTTATACTTACGGAATTTTCAACCAATTGAGAAGGAAGTTCGCAGCACCTCCCTGGATGATGACGGTAGCGATCACGATGAGCGAAGTGGTGGTGAGCATTGCTTGCCGTGCATCGGATACGGTATTTCTAATCGCCAAAGCAAACGACATTGCTCCTCTGAGACCTAGAATGGAATTATTGCAGTTATCTTCTATATAGACAATAACACCTGTCTGGTTTGACTGACCTGCAAAGAAAAGCATATGCTGAAAGTTCCACGAAATCTTTGGTTTTCTAGCAATGTTCAGCAATGCTGACAGTGGATAGATGTTCACAGCCCGACCTATAGCTGCACAAATCTGCAATACAAAATGGGAATTTAATTTATGTGTAGGCCTGTCCACAGGAATTCCTTTATTTTTTGACTAGCTCTCTTTGTGAGTTTCTTAGAATTTTTGTTCTCGTGAATTTTTACAAAATAAATTATGTAAAATTACTCTTAAATGTATTAGGGACATTTTAAAATAGGAATTACTTTGAAAACTTTGCAGAACAATTCCATTGAGTGTTTCATAAGCACAACTGTTGGAAATAGGTATCAAAGCGAGAAATAAACTTACAAATCCTGTAAATATGAACAACGGATCGAATCGATGCTTCGGGAAGGTAAACATCGACACTCCAATGTACGAGAAAATGAAGTTCTCTGCCAGGAAGTTTAGCAGTTCAAATATCTGTTTCGTTCGGGATCGCGAGTCGTCTGATAGATTGTTGTACGTGTAGTGAGCTTGACAAATGCCGCAAAATAGCACAGCGACGACACCTGTAAACCAAATGATTGTGTTATTAAAATACAAATGTTTAAACAATAAAGATACAGTACCAGTTAACTCCGCAGCCTCCGCTATCAGAAAGGTACTGTACGACATCAGTACGAACAAAGCCGACTCCAGGAGAGGGAAGTCCCGGATGTGGGTAAACTTGGTCATCAGTGCCGTTATGCAGCCCATAGATGCACCGATCAGTAGCGAGAAGAAAAACACACTGAAGAAATCGCCCAGCGACCGTAGGAAGGCGTGACCCTCGAAGCCACCGGTGCTTGAGTAGTGTTCTCCATAGTTTTGTATAGCACTGAAAACGATAAAAAAATAGTGGGAAACTGACCATCTGTGATTCAGAGATTCCTCAGAACTTACCCGCTCAGCACAAGCGAAACCGCGTCGTTCAGCACACTCTCGCCGAACACCAAAGCGTATAGATTTACGTCGACGTGAATGTCGCTAAATATCGCTAATATTGTCAATGGATCAGTCGGTGAGATCAGCGCCCCAAAATAGAGCGTATCCAGAAAGGTGAAACTTTCACTCAGCTTTGGCATCATTTGCACAAACCCGTACATCAATGCCCCGATTAGGAAAGCCGACAGGGTCGTACCGATTATGGCAAAGGTTAAAATGGCTCCCAGATTGCGGAAAAAGTATTTCTATCAATAATAATTTTCAGCATTACTTTATATGCATCGGAAAATACGGAGAAAATAGTTGTATTTACCCTCTTCAAACTGTATCCCGCGTGGAAAATGATCGGTGGTAAAATGATATTAAAGAAGATCTCCGGATCAAAGGTTGCCTTTAGATCTATTTCGTTCTCCTCTAGCTTGGCAACCTCCCCCCGGAAGCTGTAGGAGTAGGTCTTGTTGGCACGTATGGGAGTGGTCCCCTCCTTCGGCAGTTTGCCCGGGAATACCAACCACAGGCTGTCCGGTGGGAGGCTCTGGTTGAATTTGGCTTCCGGTTCGGGCTCGGCCACCATGTGGGTGATGGGAGTCTTTGTGCCGGCATAGCGAATGATGGCTCCAACAATGAGACCTGCAAGGAACAAACGAAAAGAGATATTGAGTTGATAAGTTGCATAGGTAAAAACATCCATATGATTCGCAAATGCTGCCAATGCTGTAAAGAACATATTCAGAAAATGTATAGTTTGGATTTGGCTATTTACCAAACATTTACACTGCCTATAATCGCATGTCAGTCCATATTTTAAAAAAATCCTCGGATGGGTATCGACGTAATGAAGAAAAATAAATTCCCTGATATTTCCTGATTTTCCAGTCGATTTTCTTAAAAACTGTAGATATAGGAAACCACTTACATTTTACTAAATTCATAAGTTTAAAACATGCATGTTGATTAGTGATTTTTCCGGTTGTCTTGAAGTTAACCTTTGAATTCTTCTGAAATTTTATTTAGAATTCTTCTCAGAATTCGCATGGAGTTTACTGAAAATTGCGTATTTTCCGTAAATTTTCCTCAAAATTATCATTAGAATACCCTTGAAAATTTTATTAGAATCACTTAAGAATTGTACCCTCAAAATTGATATTTTTTGGCAAGATTTTCTTTGAATTCTCTTTTAAACTCACTATTAAGTATCCTTATAATTTTCATGAATTCGCCGCTCTTTTGGACCTATCATCAGAATTCAATACCCTTGGAGATCTTCTCGGAATTTCCTTGAAATTTGCATCATAACTCTCTTGAAATTATTCTCAGAACTTGTTTGGAATACTAATTGAAATTTAAACAGGAATCTCGCTCGCAATCGTCATGGAATCCTCCTCAGAATTACCTAAAAATTTCCCCAGAACTCTCTTTACAATTTGCCAGAAATTTTACAATGTCCAGAATTCCGACTATCAAAAACGTAACCCTAGCGGTGCTGGTGGTAAGCTTGACTGCCTCTGACTCCAAAGGGCCTGGGTTAAAACGCAGTCGGCGCCGCCGGGATTTTCTGAGGCATAAAATCTCTGATCACGCCTTCCTTTGGAAGGAAAGTAAAGTCGTTGGTCCCCGGTTCATGAGTCTATTGATCGATAGCATTGGTACTCAATACCGAAAACAAGATCGACGGAAAACAAATCAAAGAAAAAAAATGTAACCCGATCAGTGGCGTCGCGTAACCTCACTTTTTACCTGTTCAACAACTTTGAAAACGTTATTTAGGGTCATGTTTACATTCAAATCAGTTTCAAAAGACATAGGATCTTCTAGTTTTACTTATTTGTATCCATTGAAACCAATATTGTTTTGTTTGTTTACGTTTTGAGAGTTGTTGAACATATAGAGGTTAGGGCGACGCCACTGAACCCGATACGGAACATGTTTTAGGTCGTCAAGGCATTGCTTGTCACTTAGAACCCTTTAAATCAATATTCAATATAATCAATTTAAAAAACTTCATCCAATCAAGACTACAATCCTACATTTTCATTGAATAGCTGATTCTTTGAGCTTATCAGGAAAACAATGAGTAACTAGAACTAAAAGTATTCGGGAAAATCATCTCTTTTCTTTACGATTTCATGGGCCCAACTAGATACAATGTTCACCCAGAGGCGCACCAATCCACTCGGAGGATAAATTTTGTCAGACCCAACTTGGTATAGCATCTATTAAGAGACGTACTGACCCATTTGTATGTTGAATTATGAAAACATGAATTCTTACAAACCCTCTGGATCCCACTTAAACTTTTCGATTAAGAATTATTTCACTGATTTTCCAGGCCCATAATAAGATTCCCTGTTTTTTCAGGCAAAGGGTACCACGATGAAATTGCCACACTATGAAATTGCTCTAACTTTTTAACCGTTGGGTAGAATTTAATGAAAATTTGGGTGGATTTAGTTCATAGTGCATTATTTACATCCTGCAAGTTTTAAAGTCCTGTGATCAAAACTCGCGGAAATGGAGTCGAAAGAACAGCTCGTGCGTGATAAAATCTTGCGCATTCATCACGAGAACAAGGATCTCTCGCATCGTTCCATCGCTTAAACGTTGGGAATCGCGAATTCCACGGTGTCGCGAGTGATTAAGCGGTTCGAGGAACGGTTGACCACCGATCGGAAGCCCAGAAGTGAAGGAAAAAGTATTCCGTACAACACCAAAAATCACAACCACGTAGTTGGGGCCTTCAACCGAAATCCGAACGCCTCCGTTAGGGATGTGGCTAAGAAGCTGCACCTAAGCCGAAGTTTTGTCCAGAAGGCCAAAACTAAGGCTGGGCTTCGAACGTTCAAGGTACAAAAGGCCCCTAATTGCGACGAGAAGCAGAACAAGTCCGCCAAAACCTGTGCCAGGAAGTTGTACCTCAACATGCTGATGAAAGTTGAATGCTGCATCATGGACGACGAAACATATGTGAAGGCCGACTTCAAACAGATCCCCGGCAACCTGTTTTTCACGACCAAGGATAAGTTCAGCGTTCCGGAGCATGTCCGCACTCAGAAGATGTCCAAATTTGCGAAGAAATTCCTGGTTTGGCAAGCCATCTGCACGTGCGGGAAGCGGAGTGCACCTTTCGTGACCCAGGACACGATGAACGGACAGGTGTACATAAAAGAGTGCCTCCAGAAGCGGCTGCTTCCTCTCCTGAAGGCCCACAACGTCCCAACAATCTTCTAGCCGGGTTTGGCCTCATGCCACTACTCCAAGGACGTGCTGAAGTGGTATGCGGACAATAAGGTCAATTTCGTGCCGAAAATGTTCAACCCTCCCAACATTCCGGAGCTCCGCCCCATCGAGAAGTACTGGGCGATTATGAAGCAGCACCTTCTTAAACGACCTAAGGTAGTGAAGACAGTCGAGGAACTGAAGAAAGTATGGGTTTACATGCAAAAAACGGTTGATTCACAGGTTGTGCAGAATCTTATGGCCGGGGTTAAGGCCAAGGTGCGGGCATTTGCGTATGGACTGTAAATAAAATACGAGTAAAATGGTAAAATGAAGTTTAATAGTTATTTCTCAATCCCTGAAAATTTGATGGCAATCGGATGAAAACTCGAATTTTGCGAATCAATTTTGTGTGTGGCAATTTCATCGTGGACACCCTTTAGTCGACACCCTGTGAATGATTTAACAGCCTATGAATATACCCAATAATAATAAAAACAATTAACAACGAAACCAGTCTTGGTATTAGTTTCAAGACAACTCTTTGCAGAAGACTGGTTCCACACGGGAAAACAAAAAAACATTCGTCACAACCATAGAACGAAGACAAAGCAAATAAATGGTATGAATTTGATTAAAGATGCTAAGGCCGAATGATCATGACCTTACAACAAACATAACAAAACCGAGCTACGTATCAATATTGAAGAAAGTAAAACGAAATATATTTATCTTAGGATTCTTTTGGCAAACAGTACATGAAATGGAACACACAATACAAAGATTTATTTGTTTTAATTTGCTAAAATTCAAAACGCATTCCTACAGATCGGGTTAAATCAGATGAATCATCATCTATCGGAGTTGTTTTGTTGAGCTATCCACGCATTATCCTCCGTCGCGAGAAGTGAATATAGTTCAGAAGGAGTACAATACCTATCAGAAAGCTTTCAACACAAGTAATATTCGCATAGCACAACTTAATCAACAACAGCAACCTGTTTGGTAGCTTAACTAGCCGCTTTTCGTCGATTAGACATGTTGTTGAACTCTTGTTGGTTGGTTGTGCTTGTGCTGTGTCCAGTTTTCGGTAGGGATATAACCTTTACATAGTTTAATTGAAATTGATCTAATTAGCATATTCGTTGATACAGGTCACTTAGAAGATGAATTGGATATCAGTGACCTGATTTTCACCAGGAAGATCCCGAGGGATTACTACGATCGTTTAGATCTGGCAGGTATGTGGAGACATTTTGTTTTCTTTGGCTTTATTACATCCCCACTGGCAGGGTAACTTCCATTCATTTTGTTGTACAGTTCATTAGTATTATTGTGTGGCAAGTAGAATCATACTCTATGCCCAGGGAAGTCGAGAAATTTTCCAACACGAACAATTCTTAGATCGCACCGGGAGTCGAACCCAGTTACCTCCAGCATGGCCTCTTGACATATAGCTGCACCTTTAACGACTGAGCTAAGGGAGGCCCCATGAGACATAGCAGCAACAATAACAGGTGGCAGAATTGAATTAATAATACTTTTTTATGTGAGCTGTGTAGATTGTCACTCTCGATTCCATGACCGGCGAGTGGAAATGTATCAGAAGGCCGTTTTCGGTGGAACCAAGGCCAATGAAACCGAATTTCCACACATGGCCGTTGTCGGATGGACCAACGCGGACAAAGGTATAGATTGGGGATGTGGAGGTTCATTGATTACGAAGCGTTTTGTATTGACGGCCGCTCATTGTATGCAGAAAAACGAGTACGAGTTGTGTAATCATGTGTAAACAACTGTATGACTAATCGATTTCTAAATTTGGTCATAGACAAACTCCAACCGTTGTCAGACTAGGAGACGTTGATCTTGCATCGAGTGATGATGATCGGTATTCTCAACAGTTCAATGTGAAAGATACGATACGTCATCCACAACATTCATTCAAACAAAAGTATTTTGACTTGGCACTGATTGAGCTAGACAGAGATGTTATGTAAGTGATAATGGCTGGCCTATATGGGTTAGTCAGTGTAATATTATTACCTCATGTTGGTTCTCTTTTATTAAGTTTAACGCCGGGAGTCTGTCCAGCATGTTTGTGGCATGAGGAAACCTTTCCTTATGCATACCTGGACGTTGCAGGGTACGGAGCGACTGGATTCGCTGAAGACACCAGCCCTAATCTATTGAAGGCTACACTTTCTCCTGCTGATCATGAAATGTGTGTCAAATCTTATCCCAGCGATAGAAGATTGCCACAAGGAATTACCGGTGATCAGCTGTGTGCAGTTGGAGCCCACAGTGATACCTGTCCTGGAGACTCCGGAGGTCCGTTACAAACGACACTTCGGACGTACCATCGGAAGGTGGCTTTTCTCGTGGGAGTTACCTCGTTTGGAAGTGCTTGTGGTCTCGGTATTTATGGCGTGTATCAAAAGGTTGCTCCACATATCAAGTGGATTGAATCAGTCGTCAAGGAATCTTTGGATCCTTTAAGTATGAATGATGCAGAACTATTCAATGCCATAGAATTCACTATATTTACTTTTTAGCATGCGTTAAAAACTACGAGAACTACTTGGTGCAGGAGCAACTTGGTCAGGAGTACGAAGCTGTCGGTTCGTATTTCAGTCGAGTCTACCTTCACTGGAAAAATCCCTCGGGTGAACCTAAGTGTGGCGGTACACTCATAGACTACAATACTGTTGTAACATCTGCTCATTGTACTCACAACTCTCGAGGAGAGCATCCAATTGCAATTTCGATTCTTGGGCAACGCAACCGAATTATAGATATCCAAGTGCATCGCAAATTCGAACAGGGTCGATTTTACAACGACATTGCATTATTAAGATTGAAGAAGTATCTGCGCGACTCAGATATCATAGCACCGCCATGTTTACCCTATACTAGTGCGATAGATGCCTTTGTAGCACCGAACAATTCAGTATCAATTCGCTTACCGAAGGAAGGACTCGAACCGAAGCTTCAAATATTTCTCGCCGCTAAAGCAATCTGCGGAAACGACGAAATCATCAAATGGCCAGAATATGCCGAAAAACTCCCCAAATTCCTGGGGAAATCTTTAAGCTGTTACAAAGCGGACTATAACATGGTGCCTGGATTGGCAGAGGTATTTTCGTGAATCAAAATAATATTATACACTCTCAAGATCCCTATTTCTAGGCTGACATCGGAGGTCCACTACTCAGCGCGGATGAATCGGTTCTATATGGTATCAATGTGCTGGCACGGGACGGGGGATCGTTCAGTCCTCTGATTACCTTGGATTTAGACCGCAATATACGCTGGATCGAAGAGTTTGTGCTAGATCGTAGCTGGGCTCCCAACCAAGGTGAACCAGAATCAGCAGAACATTTGGTGCGTGAAGAAGGTTCTGCCTGCGTAACTTTCGACAATAAACGGGGTCACTGTCGGGCGGCGCTACAATGCAGAGAGGAGCTTGAACGTTATCAACAAGGATGGGTGAAACCGACTATTTGCAGCTATCACCGTCGGAAGATGGTAATCTGCTGTCCACGAAGGTTTGAGAACACATCCCCAAGACGCCGAAATGGTTAGGATCTATTCGATAAGCGCTACTATATAACACTACTAATTGTCCATCTGCACTAATGAAATAAATCGATCTTCATTTAACAGTTCATTCAACCGATTCAACATGTTTCGGAATTTCTTTGATAGCGAATACTGAGAACAAGAATAACTCTACCGTTCATAATCTACTATTTCTCTAAATGGATTCCTTTTTCTCTTTTTTGATAACTTTACTGGATTGTTTGATGTGGCTTTTGCTAGCTAATTCAATCTTTTGTAGCACTGTATTGGCAAACTTCCGGAATAGCAACCCATCAACCCATGGACCGCGGACCAACGGCTTTACTTCCCTTTCGAAGGAGGGCGCCATCAGAGATTTTATGCCTCAGAAAATCACGACGGCGCCGATAGGGATTGAACCCAGGCCCGTTGTAGTGAGAGACAATCACGCTTACCAGTACACCACCGGTGCCGCTAAGTTATTCGTTTTCGATATAGGTAAATCGTACATATTGCTCTTCTCACAAGAAGCCTCATTCTATTAGGATGTTCCGCATTCCAGAGACTCGCCCTCTCATCAATTAAAATAGGTCTCACAAAAATCCTCTTTCAATTGCGATGTACACCGTTAAATTTGATAAAACGAAATGAAAATATAACACTACTTCTTGATGGCTATTCCGCCATACGAGTTTCAATGCCGTCCACACATTGAAACGTCATTGGATTCACTTCGGCTTACGGATGAAGGCAGAAAAAATTGATTCGTCTAACACCCCTCCTAAGTGCTTACGTATTATCGCATTGCCCTCAAGTGGATAACTGGTGCGTCTGCTAGAAAACTTTTCCCAGAACTACAAAATCGTGCAGCGGAGAAAAGAATAAAATTGGATGACAGCAGTTCCTTGTAATGGAATTGCTGCCAAAAATAGCCAATGAAAGACGACTGTTCAAAATAAAACTTCACAATCCAAAATTGCCATACATATGGTCCCTACAATTCAGCATATGAACAACAATCAGTTTTTAATCAGTCGGCAGCACTATTGAAAATGTACCTTCTAGCAACGACGATGAGATCATTCAACAACTGAAGGACACATTATAGAAAACTCGGATTCTTACTACTTTACTCACTTGTAAAGTTATTTAAAAAAAACAAATTTTCTCGATACCTGGCTGTCCGAGTAAACGAGCACCAAGTGGAAAAAGGCACACCAGGGAGAAAGCTGAGCGGAGCTTCTTTAGAAGAAGAGATTCATTTACGTGTTCGAAATTTAACAATAATGACGAAATAAGTCGTGCGTGTCCTAGAAAAGGGAATATGCAATAGGGTATATGTACCAGTTATGGCTATATGTTACAATTATGATGTGTTCCAATTATGGCATGTTTCAATTAGGCCTATAGAAATTCCATAGCCCATAATTGAAACATACCGTGATAAGAACGCCATAGCCTACCCTAACGAATAATGAATGAAGGTATTTTTTTTGCAACGCAGGCTAGTGCTGTGTAATTTACAAGAAACATATGCTATTTTTAAAGAGCAATATCCCGCAATGAAAATCAGGTTTTCCATGATCGCGAGCAACCGCCCTAAACATTGCAGTCCGGCAGGTACGAGCGGTACGCATACCGTGTGCGTGTGCATTTACCATCAAAATGTGAAATTGGTGTTCAAGATCCTTCAAGATAAAAATGAACTCATATCACGATATGATTTTCAAAAATATCTGCACTTGCTCAATAAACATTGGTTGATTTCGGTCTTAATGCGGAGTGGAATTATTTCGTCACATGCCCTGGTAAAGGTCCATGTGATGCATTGGGAGGAGTATTAAAAAGAAGCGCTGCATAAGCAAGTTTACAAAGCCATCTCATAACAATGGCAAATGAACTTTACACATTGGCTATTCCAAAACCAGTTTCGAAAGCAGGGGAAAGTAGTCAATACTAAGACAGCAGGACCAGTGAGTCAACGGGAATATCTTGATCATAAAAGTGTTCAAAATTCTTGTTATTTAAAAGATTATTTATTATTATATATTATTTAATCTCAACAACAAAACGCACATGCAATGAAATTCTTACTAGCGCATAGTAATAAGGTTTTATAATCAAAAGTGATGAAGATTAAATTGTGTTGGATACCACTATTTTACTATTTTTCATCAAACATACCAACGGTACATTTGAATCACTAATATGATGGAAGTATAAAAATTAATTACGAAGAAGTATACATGCAAGTGAATAACACGCATGAAACCATCGAAATAATGGTATTGAGAAATCTTCGGTGCTGTGGGATCTCCAGTTTTTGTAAGAAGGATAAAAAGTAGGGAACGTCAGTTAATTACGTCACACAAAAGGCCCATTTTCAAGCCCTCTCCCTTTGTGACGTTTTTTGTATGGATCGTCACGGTTTCCACACATCCCGCCTCTAAAAGCATGACGTAATTTATGATCGTTTCCATACTCGATAAACCACACGACCTCTCAAATATCATTTAAGGTGTGGTCGAACAATAATTTTATGATTTGAGCCATATTGAAACATGGCTCTTTCGGTTGCAGGCTACCGGGCAGGTATGACACGTGTCACTGCCGCTGGTTGCTGAGTTATTCTGTCTCAGGTTAATAACTAGTTTCCACAATCATCAGTTACTTCCGCCTTGAGTTATTACATTCAATCAAAGTGTTTTGTTACACGAGAACGATTTTCAGAGTTGGAGAAGAGGAAATGGTTCAGCATTTCAACAACATGTCTAGATAGAGCTGGAAATAGGGCGTAACAGCTCGCCCATGCAAAACCATCATCTTCATCGGATAGGAGAAGACTTACCCTACCCGATGGTTTAGTTGGTTTGCGTGGGCGTGCCTTGAATTCCTAGAAATCATCGCGAGAAGTCATTGTTTACAAAAGCTGTTACGCCCTAATTCCAGCTCTATCTAGATTTATTCAACTTGAAAATTTATTTTGTTTCACTGGTGGAAATTTCAGAGTGGTATCTCTAACCGTTTTTGAGTATTTACCGAAAAACAAATGGCCGGATGCGTACAATTCTAAGAAAATCATAAAGCAAACAAAAAAACGATAATTTCCATAGCTTTCTCGCTTTCCTATGACTGGTCCCGACACGAATGCCACGATGATGGTAAAGTGTCGTTAATAAATATTAATAATAATAATAATATGACTGGTCGTCATATCTAAAAAATTTCCCAGTATTTTTCGATTGGTTGAAATTCCCGGCAATTCGGAGGATTCTTTAGCTTGGGGACAAAATCGATCTTGTTGGCAGCATACCACTCCATAACCACCTTTGAGTAGTGGCAGCTGGCCAAATCGGGTCAAAAGATACCTCGCCCCTATGCTTGCGGATGAACGGCAATACACGCTTTTTCAGGCATTCTTCGATGTAAACTTGGGATGTCATCGTCGAGGATGTTTCGAGGCCACAACTACAAATCGCATGTCAAATCATGACCTTCTTCGAGAACTTGTCGGCAAACACGAACTTGAATCTTCCCGGCACATTCTCACGTCCAGTCCGGGAAGCTGCTTAAAATCAAGTTTGACGAATGTTTCGTCATCGATCAAACTGCAACCTTTTTGTTTCGTCAAAACACGGTCGTACAAGAGTTTTGCACGCTTTTTGGCCACGGAATTTTGCATCATGTGCCGGTTGGCTTTGTACGACTTGTATCCTTCCCTGGCAATTGCTTTTGTAAACAAACACGTCTAACACCGATTTCTCATGAATGAAAGCTCAATCTCGCGAACAAACTATACCAAATCAAATTAGAATCATCCCTCTACCTGTCTGTGTTATTAGTTTTTAAGATTGAGTTTTAATTCGCGATAAATCGGCGATTGGAATGTTTGTTTACAAAATCAATTACGCCCTAATCTCAAAGCTCTCCGGATATATTTCTGATCCCTTCAAAATTACTAAAGCTAATTCAACGACTGAAACCTTCAAGAGAGTGAAATTCTTACAAGTGCTGTATTCCGTCCTCTAAGGTATACAAGCTCTACGTTCCTGCGGCTTGCCGTTGTCGTATCGAAAGAGAGGAGGAACCTCCATCGGATTCGTGATGTCCATCGTTATTGGAGTTCACGTCGAGGTGCATGTTGTAGCGCTGAGCCTGATGCTTGGGCAATTACACTTGCAGCATCGACCCTATCCGAATATCCTGCATTCCAAGCTGGACGATCACTTCATTCGGCACATTTCAGTAGCGAGTATGCAACCTACGAATTACTCAATTACAAAAGCAACGATTTGAACCATAATTAAACATGTATCTCAATGTTCAAGGCCTGCCTAGTGAGGAACAATGAGACAAAAATTAACCTTTGCGTGCTTTCAACTTAGTATTCTTTGTAGATGCACTTCCACAGTTAATAATTGAAAGCTTTCGATGCCTGTACCATTTTTGCATTAATATAATTGTGTGGCAAGTACAATCATACTCTATGCCCAGGGAAGTCGAGACATTTTCTAACCCGAAAAAATCCTAGACCGGACCGGGAATAGAACCCAGCCACCTTTATAGCTGCACCTATACCGACTGAGCTAAGAGAGACCTATACCATTGAAATGGAGTCAAGGGCTTGTTTGTAGGTATCATCGAACAAATTTGAAAAATTGTTGAACAAAAACTATCTTACTGATGACTACTTCCCTCTACACTAGAGATCTTTTCAGAACTAGATTACAAAACAATGGATTGGAAAATAAAAACCCGTTATACTCGTGTAAAACAAATTCCGGGAATCCAATCATACCATAGTTTTAAGCCAGAAAATGAAAATTATATTATCGAGAAACGATTTTTTTTTATCGGCAGAAGAAAAGTATGAAAAACGTTGAAATTATCTCTAGAATTTTTAGTGTCACGAATACGTATAATATAAAAATAAATTTTGACTAATGAAAATAAAAAGGCATGTTTTTTATCATGACGTGTACTAAATTGACAAAAATCAATGTATTTTCTATGATCAAATTAGATTACTAGTGTCATATGTAAATTTTCTCCATGTTGTAAGAAACTCTTAAACTTATTCCCAATAAGAAAATTATGCACAGTTAATGGTCAAAGAAGTGATACCTCGAAATTTTATAATTGACGCGCATAGGGCAACAGAACGTGCCCTTCGATGAGGTTGACGATTTTATCCGGGACTTCTTTGCGTTTCAGGGCGCCCCACAGATTTTCGTGATTGAGTCGGTCTAAAGCTTATTCGTAGTCAATGAATACCAAATAGAGGGGATCGTTGACCTGCTCCAGGATGATGCAGAGCGTGACAATATGGTTCACATAAGATCTTCCGGCACGGAATCCTGTCTGCTGATCCCCCTTCTTAGTAACCTTCACTAAGACGCCCTTCATGCAGTCGTGGTGTTCCAGATATTACAGAATAGTTGATGCAACATTTGTGGGGATAGCATTGCATCAGCTTTGAGCATATCTGCTGATATGCGATCGATCCCGAGAGCCGTGTTGGATTTCACGGCGGTAGAGGAAATGCAACGGAGGTGCGACTCAAACAGCGTCTGACTAGCATCCAGTAGCTGAATAAGAAATGCTCTTCCCAGGAAGCTACAACTAAGACGGCAGCCCCATCACGGGGATAGGAGACTTTAGGCCAACCACCGGATATCTCCGAAATTTATAAATTGTTACATAAATTGTTCATACTAAAGAGTGTCTAGTATAAGAGGGAAGCGGATTAAAAAAAACTGCCTTTGTAACCTATGTCTAGGTTGTTTCTAGCAACGCTGCCAATGCAATCAAGATAGGCGCTGCTCGATTGGCTCTAGCTTTGACAGTTCGTTTGGCTCAACACCAGCCAGTCTACCTTGAAGTCTGGTTTGATTCAAAATGCACTTGGGGTACCCACATTACGTATTTGAAACAAAAGTGTCAACAAAGGATCAACTTTCTACGATCAATTTCTGGGACATGGTGGGGTGCTCACCCGGAAGATCTCATTAAACTATATAAAACGACTATTCTTTCAGTTCTTGAGTATGGCTCTTTTTGCTTCCTCTCGGCAAGAAAAAGCCACCTAATCAAATTGGAACGTAAAACCCCTGCAGAACCGTTTGTGGGAGCTCTCATTAAGAATATTGATTAAATGTAGTGTCAATAACAACCTTGTGATTGAAAACTTCGAAGAAATGCTCGAATTGAGCATCCAGTCTAGATTCGTGCGAATCTATCTCAATTATATGTCATCGGATATTAGCCTTCCTTGCTATAACCCCTCTCGTGTATGCTTTACTAACTACAGTTCCCCCATTGAAGAGATGAACTAGCCTCAGGCTAAAAATCTCTAAAATAAAGAAAAAAAAAAAAAAAAAAAAAAAAAAGTTCCCCCATTGACTATGATCTCTCCATGAAACAGGCTATTCAAGGAGTTCCAGATCAACTTCGACCTATCTCAATTCCCCGCATTTTTGCTGAAAAGTACCAACAAGTCAATTGCAATAGAAGATTTTTCACTGATGGATCACGCATTGATGGATCCACTGGCTTCGGCGTCTTCAATGAATACTCAACCGCCTTTCGGAAACTTCAGGAACCTTGTTCCGTTTATGTTGCTGAGCTAGCAGCAATCAACTTCGCATTGGGGATGATTTCCGATATGCCCATAGACCATTACTTCATCTTCTCGGATAGTCTCAGTTCGATTGAGGCTATTCGGTCGATGAAACAAGGTAGGCACTCATCTTATTTCCTTTCAAAGGTAAGGGAGCAGATGAGTTTGCTGGTCGAAAGATCATATATGATTACCTTTGTATGGGTCCCCTCACATTGCTCAATCCCAGGCAATGAGAAGGCAGACTCTCTCGCAAAGGTGGGCGCACAACAAGGCGAGATTTATGATAGAAGAATTTCACATGATGAATTTTTCCCATTAGTACGTCAGAGTTCTCTTGTTGTTGGCAAAACGATTGGACAAATAATTCTCTTGGGCGGTGGTTACATTCCATTATTCAAAATGTTTCTTCGAGAGCGTGGTTCAAAGGTCTGGATGTAAGTCGGGGATTCATTCGAGTGATGTCAAGACTTATGTCCAACCACTACTCGCTAGACGCACATCTCTATAGAATAAACCTCGTTGACAGCAATATATGTAGGTGCAGAACCGGTTATGATGACATCGATCACGCAGTTTGGTATTGCCCGGGTAATGACGCCTCCAGAGCACGACTATTGGATACCCTAGTGGCCCGAGGTAGACAACCCTTCCGTGAAGTAAGAGATGTATTGGGAACACGTGATCTTCCCTACATGCAAGTGATCTACGAATTCCTTTGTTTGTCTGATGTTAGAGTTTGATGTGACTATCCCCTCCTTTCCAAACAATTTCCCGCCATTGTGTCCCAGTCTTATTATCCTCCTGTTCCTGTGCTACTTGCCACTGCCCAGTCAGGATTTGGTCAACCGTCCGAGAGTAGTATCTGAAGGAGGCTTCAGAAACCAGTTTCCTACCTAGATCCTTCCAATTGAAATTGTTACCCATTAACCTCGAGCCCGCCACGAGTAATTGGTACCCAATACTAACCTAGAAATACTGCTATTTAAAATGTAAATCAAACATTACTGATTTTGGCTCCGCAAAATGTCACACACGACTGAGCCTAGTAAATAAATGAACTAGTTAAAAATTAAAAAAAACACCAGCCAGTCCGATCCTTTCTTATACTATATCCTCTCCAATTCATACCCACACTGAAAAACATAATCATGGCATACTAGGCCTAACTTGCTTAATTATCGTTGTTGTGTTTGATCATCATCTACTGATACTGAGAAGCTGGAGCGGTACAGACACACATGATTGGGAGGAGACGAGTGTGTATATTAGCGAACGCTTGCGAATAAAATGCGGTAGGGAAAACGGGTTTGATTGAATGCTACATTTTCATTAGCCAAATACTCGTGGATGGTCAAGCTGTACCGCATAGAGTATTACAATGCCCCAGTGTATTGATTTTTTCCTGTAGGCTGTCCTTTTTATAAATAAAAAATAATAATTTTCAAAAAATTACAGCTTTTATAAGTTTTTAGTGTAGGAATTATATTTAAATGTTTTTACATTTTCTTATGAAAATTCCTATAATTATCTAAAAATCACTCTTGGCAATATTTTTGTATTTTTTTATTATATTTGAGTTATAATTTTCTGTGGAAATAGTTGATAAGAATGTCCACCCTGTGCAAATGGTAGTCTAGATTTGTTTTAAGGAAAATAAGTATGCAAAGTTGCATAAGTAGACAAAATCTGTACACCCACAAAGTTTCATTGGAATCTGAGAGTGTGCTGCCAACTTAAATTAGTTGGCGTGAAATTTGTCAGTTTCAAAATCATACCCGATGTTCCCATTCAAGCAATTTCATTATGTCTAACCAGTTTGCTAAGCGCAGACGTTATAGGATTCAGCAGAAAGGAATAAACAAAATTCACACAAGGAGAATCCCCGGCTATATTTGAGAATTACGAAAACGTTTTCCGGACGTGTTGCTATTTAACCACAATTAACATAACCAAATTCTTCATTCGCATCCAAGCTTTGAACCAGTCAGGATGTTGTACAAAAGTGAACAAAAGTGGTTGTTAACTATAAGCATTCTAGTGTGGATACTGGCCATAGTTCCGCACTTAACTAGTGGTGGGTTACTCTAAAATTAGATGTTGGATCACAATTCGTTCATTTCTATCATTGTGTACCTTTGCAGCAAGTCCCCATATTGAAGATGAACTTGACGAGATAAAAGAAAAGTTGGATGAAGTGTTTACCAGTACGATGCCCAGTGATTATTACAATCGAAGAGATTTGCAAGGTGAGAATAAATCAGTGTATGGATCAATTCTCGAATAATGTATCGTTTATTCATAGTATTATTATTGTAAAATATAAACTATAAATCGAAACATCGCATTGCATGGTGGGTGGGTAAATATTGGTCCAAAGGATTATTTCATTGGAAAATTAATGCATATCGGGTAAATTGTTTATTTTCAATTTGTAATTTTACAATATTTCCAAAACCCATGCATTTGTGCAGAAATATCGATGAAAAAATAATGCTGATATGTTTTCTCATCTTTAGAAGTGTGGAAAAGTGGCTAACATTAACGATTGCATCCGTTAGTGATACATTGCGGCAAAAAGGCAACTAAATTTATTTTCTAATAGTAACATTTTCCACAACGTATCACTAACGAATGGAATGTGCGTGGGGCTTAAGAATTTAAGATAGCCTTGCGCAACAATTTCATCCCACAACTTATTAAGAGCTCCCCTATAACAAGAAAACAAGCAAATCGACGCCAACTGACGAATCGATTTATTTTACCCTTACCGAATTCCATGAAACTTCGCATAATTGTTCACCAAGTTTGTACTAGAACTCGATACCATTTTTTCAAAGTGGCGTATTCGATAGTTTTTCAATAAATCAAAAAACGGATTATTTAATCTAAATGACGTCTAAGACAAAGTTTTATGAAACTGGAATGTCTTTTCAGGAAAAAAATATCACTTATTTTCGACAAAAAAAGGAAAATAAACAAATTTTTATCAGTTCAATCACAAAAAAAAACTATATTTTTAAGATCAATAAACTAATGTTTATTTGAAAGCTTATCAAAAAATGACAATTGTTTCTGATATTGAGCACAATGAACACTCTAAAATTGATCAAAATTGTAGAACATCAGCTTTAAGTATTTTTTTTTAACTTTTTCGAATTCCAGCTCAAACTTGGTTCATTGACCCTAGCGAACAACTATGCGTAGTTTCATGGAATTCTGAGAGGCTAAATCTGGAATTTGTTTATTTTTTCGCTATTTGGCGTCGATTTGATCAAATTATTTAATTGTGAAAGTAGAAAGTATTGCTATGCTAAAATAAAATTAAAATGCAAATAGCAAAATCAAAGTGTAAGGAGATGAAGATCAGTGACGTCAATTTTCAAGCCGTTCTCGGAACAAACCTGAATTTAAATAATCCTGTCTGAAGCATTTTAGTGTCGTGGAGAAAAACTAGTGGAAATAATAAACCGGTTTTACCGAAATTTTGCTGTTTTTGCCTTTTGAAGATTGGCTAAACATAACCGGTACTTGTTTGCTTTTCCCAAAGAAAAAAATCGATGATAAATTCTATATGTTGCAATCAGTCAATCAACGAGTAAATTATCAGATTAGATTCCAATGCATGCCTCACCAATACCTAGGGTAAACGTACCTCCACTATTGGTGCGTTTACCCTATACGTTTATCATTCAACAACATATAACGTTTATTAAAAACTATTAACACACAATAAATTTAAACCATGCTGATTCACGACTTGTAAATGTTTGTCAAAATGATAGAGTTTTGTTAATGTACAGAGAAGTATTTCAATTTTTATTACCATAGTAGTCGGTAGGTATTAATACTTGCATAGCGTTTTGCAAGGATTAAGGGTACATTAACCTGATAAGCAGACATCACTGGAGCTGTAACTAAGACCTTGTATGTTTTACGATTTTCTTTCTCCAAAGACTGCCATTCCCGCTTCCACCAGCGCATCGTAGACAAACATCAGATGGCCGATTTCTTTGACACTACCATAAATGCAACCGAGTTTCCTCATATGGCTATGCTAGGTTGGACGACTCCGTCCGGCACGATCGACTGGAAGTGTGGTGGATCGTTGATAACGGAACGTTTCGTGCTGACTGCTGCTCATTGCTCTCAGCATAGTTCCAGTGGTATTAGGTACGGCTGCGGCGGATTGACCATCGAACATATGTTAAAGCGTTTTTCTGTGTAATTTTTTTCTAGCAATCCTCCGGATGTGGTTCGATTGGGTGATATCCACCTGAAATTGACTACCGATGATCACTACGCACAGCAGATCAAAGTAAAGCGGGTAATTACGCATCCGGATCGTAAACAACACGAACGGTACAATGATCTAGCGCTGGTGGAGTTGGAGGAAAAAGTTGAGTATGTTTTTAAATGTTTTGCTATGAAAACAGAAATCCTTAATATGTTCATATATATCTAGGCTTACTCCAGGGGTATGTCCAGCATGTATTTGGTCCAAAGAAGTTTATCCATATGACTGGTTTGACGTAGCTGGGATTGGTTACACCGAATATGCTGGACAGAATAGTCCTGATCTACTGAAAGCACGGCTCACCTTAGTAGATGCACACACATGTGCTTCGGCTTATCCAGCCGATCAAGAACTTCCCGATGGAATCCGCGCTGATCAGTTGTGTGCTACAAGTCCTCATAGCGATCCCTGTCAGGATGAATCAGGAGGACCACTACAGACCTCGCTGTTCACTTATCAAAAAATTGCTCATTTTTTGATCGGAGTTACGTCATTTGGGAAGTTCTGTGACGATGGATCTTTCGGAGTATATCAAAAAATTGAACCTCATCTCAATTGGATCAGATCTGTTGTAAAAGACTCCCTGGATCCTTTGGGTAAGTAATCAAATATTAAACAGAGATTTTAATACTTATTTAATGATCATACATTCCAGAATGCATACAGAAATATAGAGACTACATGGAGCCAAAACAAATGGAAGGCGAAACAGAAGTGGTTGATCCATACTTTAGTAGAGTTAACCTGCATTGGAAGAATTCAAGGACAGATGGTGCATGTGGAGGCACTTTTGTAGATTACAATGTTGTCATCACATCGGCACGATGCACCTCCAACTCTCAAGGGGAATCACCTACCAGAATTTCTTTCATAGATCGGTGGGCAGAGATAGTAGAAATAGAAAGACATCCCCAATTCAAGCAAGGATCTTACTATAACGATGTGGCTCTTCTCCGCCTTGATCGGTATTTAGTCCCAGCGGAATGGATTGCCCCCGCATGTCTTCCGTATCCTAGCGCTCTGCGTGACCATCAAACAGTACCGGAGACATTTTCATGTAGAACCCCAAAAGCACCTTACCCACAAAAATTGCAAATCTTTCTTCCTTCGAAGCCCGGTTGTGATGACCAGGAAATAGCCAACGACATAGGATATGCTTCCAAATTCCCACAAGGACTAGGTGATTCAATGAGCTGCATCGGCACAGACTATCGCTTGGTTCCTGATTTGGTCGAAATTGATCAAGGCGGTCCCCTGCTGAGCCGCGACGAAAAGATCATATTCGGGGTTAATGCTTACGGAACGGATTGCGGGTCTTATAATCCGTTGATTACGACCAATGTAGCGCCGTTGATCCCCTGGATTGAAGGATTTGTATTAAAAAATAATGCTGAAACATCCAAACCACTTTGAGAAACTTATGCGAGCTACGAGCAGAGCGTTAAAGATTAAATACTCTCAATGAACGATGATTTTCATTTGATTAAATTTTTATATTTTATGATTCTGAATAAAGCTAATTGCACAATGATTGATTTGTTGTTGTTTTTTTTTACTATAGTGACTATAACACAGCGCGAAAGGCATTGATGCCTTATCATCATTAATTATTATGAAAAGTGAGAACAAATGTCTTTAGTTAAAGGTACTAATGTTAATGAAATTTGCCTAAAATCACCTCTCGAATAATCCACCTGATAAAAGATTCATTCCCATCTCTACATGGGAAACCTACTTTTTCTCTCTGTTCGGGACATAAAACTACTGCGACTAGTAATTTGATCTATTGTAGTATATCCCGTATCCTTAGTTTAGTGCATGTCGTATTACTCCATCACTATTGAGAAATGATGAAGTATTCGGTTTTGATACAGTTGTCATTCTTGCCTTCATCGCAAGGAATTGATTGTAATTGAAAGGTCCCGCAATTTAAACCCTTCGAAGAGTGAGCAAAACACTCTCCAAAAGCGCCCCCCCCCCCTTTCAGTTAAAATTGGATTCCTTAGCAACAAAATTAAGTAATGACATCAGAGCCCTAGTCTTAACCACTTCAAACTAGAGAACAACGAATAGAAGATTAGGAATCACATAGATGAAGCCTAGCTAACTCATTTTTTCCTTGCTTCAACATCATCCACGGTGGACAAAGCCGAGTCTTGTCACTATCAACAAGGCATAAAAAGTAACAAGGACAGGGCTGGTAGTGGGTATGATGGGGCTTACCCGTTCCTTTTCGAAGGATTTTCCACCGTCTATCAATCGACGGCCCAGAAGATTGGTATGATGAATTCACCGGGGGGACTAGTCCCAGTGTTTGCAATTTTCTCCACCTTGCTCGGACACTTTGTAATACAAACTGCTCCTGATGCACTTTTGCACTATGCACACAACGCGCGATTCGGAGATTGCTTTATGCTGCTTGACCACTTAAACTAATAGTCGTCACAGGAACACTTTCGGATCACTCAAGGAAAATGTTAATCAATTGCACTACTGGACTGGGTTTACTTTTCTCTTTAATCTACGACCGGACTACAGCAAAAAACGGGATGTATCGCTTCCGACGGTATATTTTGTACTATCCTATATTTACAATTTGTTTTATCTCCTATCTATGTACAAATGGCAAAATGACCACTACAAGTGGACGCTATTGTGTGGTGCGCATGCGTGCAGCATCCTACTCATTTCTCTCTTCATCTCTGGCTTAGGATTAGGGTTACTGATACATGATTTTAGAGCACTTTCAATTTATAGGATTAAGTTTTAACTATAAGTTTAGCTGTAGGATTTAGTTAGTTCATTTAGGTTAAGTAGATTTCAGTTCATTTAGGATTAATTTAGTTTAAGTTTAGTTCAACATCCATCATTCCGGCCACCTTGAACTAACTAAAGGGTGATACGGTCAAAATTTGGTCAATATCAACTTGACGTA